CTGGCCTGAGGGGGCCAGGGGCAGGCAACTGCGCCGGGCGGCTGGCAGCTGGCTGGTGGGTGGCTGGTGGGGGGTGGCGGCTGGTGTCGGGTGGTGGTGGTAGGAGGGCAGGAGAGACGGGTGGGCAGCGGATGGATTTTGCAAAGGGCGGGGTGGCAAAGGGGCCAGCGCGCGTGCGCAGGGCCTCCTGAGCTGACGTAAGCAGAAAGGGCCATTTTTCTGCGCAGGGCAGGGTCGTCAGGCCGTGGGAGGCCCTACGGCTGGAAATGCCGTAGCTGCCCCTCAGAAAATGGCCGTAGGTAGCCCTACCGCCCCGATTTTCCGGCTGTAGGTGGCCCTACAGCCATTTTTAGCGTAGATGACCCCCGATTTCCCGATTTCAGGCCATAGGCTGGCGTACGGCCAAAAACCACCTGCCCTTTGATGCTAGCTATGAAGGCCAGCCAGCTGTCAGCTCAGCACAGCTGCCCGGCCCTGCCACTTGCCCAGCCAGCCGCCAGCCCAGCCGCCAGCCCAGCCGCCAGCCCAGCGCAGCCGCCTGGCCCAGCCAGCCATCAGCCAGCCGCCACCCGCCAGCGGGGCTCAGCGAGAGGCCCAGCCAGCCAGCCACCCGCCCGTCCCAGCCAGCCGCCAGCCAGCCGTCAGCTCTGCCTGCCACCCAGCCCAGCCAGCCGCCTGACCCAACCGTCACCCAAGCCAGCCAGCCACCCACCAGCAGCCGCCTTGCTGCTGCTTCTGCCCCGCCGCTGCTTCCGCTCTGCCACCGCTTGCACCAGCTACCGCCCTCAATCATCGGAAACTTCGGAGAGGCCCTCTCCGGCGCCTCCGATGATTGAGGCCATTCATGATTGAAGGCCTTGCTTCCGCTCCGCTGCTGGTCTGCTGCTGCTCTGGTGAGTCCTCTGCTCTGTCTGCTGACGTCCACCTCTCTGCTGTGCCGCTCCTTGCCTCTGCGCTGCCCTTACGCTACGCTCAGCAGCAGCAGCACTATGAGTGTTTGCCTCTCACTTCTTGTGAGTTTGCTGTTGCCGCTCTTGTTCTTCTCCCGCTCTGCTGCGCCATTGCTGACTCCTTTGCTCCCCTCTTCCTTTGCCTGCTCCTCCTTCACCGCCTTACTTTGCTGCTGATGATGCTCTGCTGCTGCTGCGCTGCTGCTGCCCTGCTGCCACCTGCTGCCACCCTGCTGCTGCCTGCTGCCACCTTGCTCTACCGCCGTTGGTGCTCCCCTTGTGTCGCGCGCGTGGCCGATCCTCGGCTCCGAGAGTCGGCCTACCTGCCTTTTTAGGCGCGCGGCCTCCCCGCGACTCCTTCCCTCTGATCCCCATCGATCAGCTATCCCCTTCCCTCAGCACACCTTGTAGGTAGCATAGTATTGCAATGGAATCGTAGATAGGATACGGCTGTGGGTGCGTGCTATGGCTGCGGTGTGGGAGCGACGCTGTCCTACGGCCCTGGGAGCGTAGGAAGCCTACGGCCCAAAGGCCGAAGATGTAGACCGGCTAGGTACGGCCCTCCGGGTACAAAGGAGATCTCCGATTCCCAAGGCTGTACCTAAATCCCTGCTGCTAGCTATGCTTGCGTCTCCAACAACTAGTCCGGCGGCCTACCCTCGACCTGGCCCCAAAGCCGTTCCGAGTCCAGGAATAACAACTCGACTCCTACAGTTGACTCCATACTGTCCTTCGGTGTTCCAGACAACTAGACTTGTTGTTTGTTGTCGGTTCTGACTTGCACGCATCCTAACAGGTGTTCCAATACTGCGGTGGGGGACCACGCGGGAATCCTAGGTGCTGCAGTTTCCTTTTGCCCCTTTCCTCCCCTTTCTTTTGCTTTTGCTACCGTCCGCTGCACGCCTGCCCTGACTGCCGCAGCAAGGAGCAATTCGTTGTGGATGCTAGGCTATGCTGTGCCCTGAAGCTTACAGGCTTATAGCGCAAGGCGCTGTATAGCAAGAGGGTTTTTGCAAACGCAGTGCGTCGCATTCTTGGCCGGTATGCGTAGCTTTCGGAAGGTGTCTCTTCTCGAGGCGGGAAACCTGCGCTGGCCCTTTGCGTGCACGAGCCAAGCTGACCTGCACGTGTGGTGTGGGGTGCATGGCGAGAGGGTCCAGGCGGGCACACGCACGGTTCCCCTTCCCCACCTGTGCGTCTGACCTCCTCGAGGCTCGATGGACTTCTGTCGTGGGTGAGGGGCCGGCCGCCGTGTATAAAGCCTGCCAACGAGTTTTGGCAATCACGCCACCGCCCCACCACCCTACTCCGACGACTCCATCCCCTCACACGGCCAGCCAAGCCTCGACGCCCCCGTTTCGTATCTCGTTCCTTCACCCGCATATCCTATCGCTCGCCTCCCTTTACATACGACGTCGCCGTCCCGTCGCAGCACTTGATTGCTCCTCGCGATGATGCCGCCACCTCAAGGGGCCGACAGGCCTCAGCACCAGGAACCCTCGTACCCGCTTCTGGCCTCGCAGGAGCCTCGACCCGTGCGCGCGCCTTTGCTCCGCTCGGTAATTGAGCGCCGTCTGGGAGAGTTTGTCGGTGGTCAGTATGGCGACTACAACCTGGCCTCGCTACTCTTTGAAGCACGCACCGACGACAAGAAGTACGTCAAGATCGAGCGCTGGACGCCTCCGGCCGGATCCAAGCCTAGCTTCGACGAGGCCAAGAAGCAGCAGTACAAGCCTGCCAAAAAGGGCGGCACATTCGGGCCCAGCTGGACCAATCACTGGCTGAGGATCCACCTGGCTGTACCGGAAGAGTGGCGCAACAAGGACTGGGTGCAGCTAGAGTTTGACCCCAGCTGCGAGGCCATGATCTTCGCCGATGACGGCAATCCGCTGCAGGGCATCACGGGCGGCTTCGATGATCGGCGCCGGGTCGACTTTCCCCTCAAGCCAGGCATGCGCAACGGCGTCGTCCTCTACGCCGAGGTCACTGCCAACGGCATGTTTGGCCTTCCCTCGGACGGCAGCGGCGATCCCGATCCGAATCGCTACTTTGGGCTGGCGTCGTGCGACATCGTCGTCAAGCGACCGGAGGCCTGGAGGCTGATGTGGGACTTCAACACCCTCCAACAGTGCGTCCGAGAGATGCCAAAGGACAGCATTTTGCAGAACCGCGCACTGTGGGTCGCCAACCAGATCCAGAACACGTTCCGCAAAGGCGACCTCGGCAGCATCCAGCGATGCCGCACACTGGCCGAAGAGATCCTGGGCCGCGGCTGGAGCGACCGGGGTCATGAGATCTACCAAGACGACGTCGTCGAAGGCCGCGAAGATACCCGCATCTGGTGTCTCGGCCACACGCACATCGATAGCGCCTGGCTCTGGCCCTACTCGGCCACTCAGCAAAAGGTGGCCAGGTCGTGGTCGACGCAGCTCGATCTCATGGACCGCTTCGAGGAGCACCGCTTCACCGCCAGCACGGCGCAGCAGTACCAGTGGCTCGAGGAGCTCTATCCCAAGCTCTTTGAGCGCGTCAAGGCCAAGGTTGCCGAGGGCAAGTTCCAGCCCATCGGAGGCACCTGGGTCGAATGCGACGCAAACATGCCCTCCGGAGAGGCCTTCGTCCGCCAGTTCCTCTACGGCCAGCGGTACTTCCTCTCCCGCTTCCAACAGCGGTGCACCGTCTTTTGGCTGCCGGACACGTTCGGCTACAATGCCCAGATCCCGCAACTGGCGAGGCAGGCCGGCTGCGACTACTTCTTTACCCAGAAGCTCAGTTGGAACAACATCAACCGCTTCCCGCACAACACTGTCATGTGGGTGGGTCTCGACGGCACCCAGATGATGGTCCACCTCACCCCGGTCAACAACTACGATTCGCAGTGCGGTGTCGACGATCTTGTCCGCGGCATCAAGAACAACCAGGACCTCTGGGTGCAGGACAGCGCGCTGCTCCTCTTCGGCTTCGGCGATGGCGGTGGCGGCCCGACCGAGGTGATGCTGGAGCGGATGCGACGGGCGCGTGCCGTGTCAAACTCCGGCTTCCGCGACATGCCGCGGATCACCATGGGTCGGTCGGCCAAGGACTTTTTCGAGCATGTCCGCAAGACGACCGACAACGGCAAGCGCCTCTCGACGTGGTCCGGCGAAATTTACCTCGAGTTCCACCGCGGCGTCTACACCAGTCACGGCTCGATCAAGCAGTGGAATCGCTACATGGAGCACTTCCTCGGCCTCCTCGAGTGGGTCAACACGCTGGCCAGCATCCGCGTAGACGGCTTTGGCTACCCGAAGCAGGAGCTCGACGCCCTCTGGGAGCCATTCCTCCTGAACCAGTTCCACGATTGCCTTCCTGGCAGTGCGATCCGCATGGTCTACGACGACATGGAGGTCATGTACGCCGACATGGTGTCCAAGGGATCTGCGCTCTACAAGAAAGCCCTCCGTGCACTAGGCATCGATTCGGCGCTGGGAGCCGCGTCGGCCTCGTCCGCATCTGCCAGCGACGTGTCCGTGGTCAACCACCTCGGCATCCCTCGACGCGAGCTCGTCTCGGTCGATCTTGAAGGCCTCGACCGAGCCCAGGCCGTCGCTCTGTCTCACCGCTCGGTCCAGCTCTGCGACGGCGGCAAGCGAGCGCTGCTCCTCGTCGAGGACAGTGTTGGCGACGGATGTGCTTGCAGCGTCGACAAGTCGGCCGACCTGATGCGCAGCCTCGAGGCAGTCTCTATCGTGGAGACCGAGCACAACGAGTTCATCATGAAGAATGCCAGCATCTCGCTCAAGATCAGCCATGGTCGAATCGTCTCGATCTACGACCACGTCGTCGGTCGCGAGCTCCTCGAGCACGGAAGGACCGCCGGCCTCACCATCGCCGAGGACTATCCGCCTGATTACGACAACTGGGAGACCGAGGTCTATTCGCTTGACACGATCGAGGAGATCGCCTTCGACAACGTCCGCATCGTCGAGAGAGGACCGTGGCGCTCGAGCCTGGCGTTGAATGCCCGCTTCGGTCAGAGCAACGTTCACATCACCGTCAGCCTCGATGCGGTGCCTGCGACGGTGCTGGCAGCCGATGGAGAAGGCCGACCCCTGCTGCGCTTCGACGTCGAGATCGACTGGCAGGAGAAGCACCGCTTCCTCCGCTTCGAGGTACCCACCACGCTGCGGGCCGACAGCGCATCGTACGAGACGCAATTCGGCATCACGTCGCGGCCGACGACGCGCAACACCTCGTGGGAGGCGGCCAAGTTTGAGGTATGCGGGCACCGCTGGGCGGACCTGTCCGAACCCGACTACGGCCTCTCGATCCTCACCCAGTCCAAGTACGGCTACTCGACCGAAGGAGGCAGGATGAGGCTCTCGCTGCTCAAGGCCGGAACCTATCCCGACGCGCACGAGGACGAAGGTCGGCATGCCTTCGCCTTCGCTCTGTACCCTCACGTCGGAGGTGTCGGCAAGGGTCAGGTGGTCAGCGCCGCCAGGATCTTCGCATCAAGCATGAGCCCGCCGGTTCCAGCCTCGTCGTCTTCTTCCTCGGATGCTGCGGTCGCCAAGGTGGACCAGCTGATTGGAGCGTCCAAGGATCTGACGATGCCGATCCGTCTAGTGCCGCAGGGTGGCTCGGTGGTCCTGGACACCATCAAGAGGGCCGAGGAGGACTTTGAGTACTATGGCAAGAAGCCGGAGAGGCCCGATGGTCTCGCCGTTATCGTTCGACTATACGAGGTGAGCAGGCCACCGAACGCTTGGTAAGAAAAGAGAATTGCTGAAGCCTAACTGACCTCGATGCTGCCTTGTCCACCGGTCCTCGCGCTGCAACAGTCGCTGGGCACCCACAGCCGACCCACCATCGAGATGTAGGTTGCCGAGCCGATCTTGCTCCCGCCTCAGAATGCGTGCTGACATGCCTTCCCCTCTTGCCCGCTCGCAGCTCTACGCCCATCCATTCAATCACGCAGTGCAACATTTTGGAGGACGATCTGGAGCAAGAGAGTCAGGACCTCAATCTCGAGATGTACACCTCGACCCATGACGATGTGGGACGAGGAACAGAGGCAGGGGGCGCTGGAGGAGACAAGACGATCGTCTGCCTCTCCTTCCGACCGTTCGAGATCAAGACCCTCAAGATCCGGATCAAGTAGCAGCTTCCCGCCCGCTTCATGAATGTTCCGGCTAGCTTCCGTCCGTCCCTTTTGTCCATTCTCTTACGACAAAGATCTGGCCGCGAAATGACCTCAGACGTGAACTCGTTCGGCCGTGGCGGCGCTGCGGAGAGACAGACACGTGATGAAGACGTCAGGAGGCAAAGCGAAGCGAATCGCACGCAGGGGGGCAGGAGGTGAGGTGAGCCGAGCGTGGGTAGACCAGCTACCGGGTCCGCTTGCGTCGCCCGAGTCGATAGGTGTACAAAAGGAACGTGCGGTGAGGGCCCTTCCCGGAAGAGAGAGAGAGAGAGGGAGACGGTGAGACGGAGAGAAGGCAAGGATTCCCGTGACGACAGATGGAACAACGTAAGGGGCGTTATGAGCGAGGTGGCGCGAGGTCAATCTTGGAGTTTGTCCTGCTTCAGCCTCCTCTCCCGCACAGGCGGCGGTGCTTCGAGGCTAAAATCCTCGCGCATTGGGTCGGCGACGTAGCCGTATTGGACCATCCTGGTGCGAAGGAGGGAGCTGTAGAATCTCTGGACGCAGATGAAGGCGTGCAGCTTCGTTGCCGTGTAGACGAAGGCGGCAACGAGGAAGAGCGGGATCAGGGTCGAAGTGAAGGCTTCCTCGCAATTCTCGCTGGTGAAGATGCCGTCGAGGAGCGTCTCCCAGCTTGATGGTGCCGCGTCCACCTCGCCGCCCTGCGCTGTCCTCGGGACCCCCAGTAACGATGATGACGATGGCGTCGACGATGAAGAAGAGACGACGCCGGCGACGGGGCTGCCGCTGCTGCCGCCACCGCCGCTGCCGATGCCAAAGAGTGAGACGGCCGGACCGTTGCCGTACTCGTCGCATATCTGGCTGCGGATGCTCGGGTAGGTGGCCAGCAGCGCGATGGATCCGAGCGACAGGGTCGTCAGGAGGAGATCGAGGAAGTAGTGGATGACGAATAGACGCGAGAGGAGCAAGTTGGGCCGTAGCACGCCGACCACGCCCGCCATGCAACAGACGATGCAGAGCAGCGTATAGGCACGCAAAGAGGAGAGGACGAGGCGCATGGCATGCCAATTGAGTCGCTCGGCATCCTCGGCGCCGTCGTCGAACGAGACGTGGTTGTACGCTTCGCCGCCGTGTGATAGGAGTGGTCCAAGGCTAAGCATCGAATCTCTTGACCCTTGCGCCGGCGCCGATAGCAGAGACGGAGCTGGGTCCGAGCTTGGCGGTAGAAAGGGATCGGCACGCCCCTGAGATGCCGGGTCTGAGCCGCCGATGCCGCTCTCGGGCGCGAAGCTCAAGCCCTGTGCCTTGAGATACGCCTTGGCCTCGGCCATCCAGGCCGGCACGCTGGACTTGGCCGAGGTCGCTAGATCGACGGGTGGGATGGTACGCAGCGCTGATGGTGCCGCCTGTGCAGAGTGGATTCCGACATCAAGCTGGGCATTGAATCCGGCCAGCTGGTCCAGGCGTGCTGCTGAGCCGTAGGGAGAGTCCTGGAGTCTGCTGGCGAGCGAGTATGGGCGTTCGGGTACGTCGGGCAGCGTCTGACGCAGCGTCCCGAGCCAGGTGTAAAGATTGACGTGGACCAGGATGCCCAGGAGGGCGAGGAGGAGCGTGGCGGTGCGCGGCGGGATGAAGCCGAAGAGCGAAGGCGCCGCAACGGCCATGGCTGGGGGCTGGTGATCGAGGGCAGAGGGGCGCGGAGTGGGTCCGCTGCTTGAGGTTTGGGGAGATGGGCGTGCACGGTGGCAGACGTTGTGCCGGGGTTTCGCGTGTGCTAGAGTAGTGGAGCGGCGAGCCAGAGGCCACGATGCGGAGGGGATTGGGTCGGAGCGGGCGTGCCACCGCTGGGGTGTCTGGTGGTCGCAGGAGCTAGTCAAGCCGCGACGGCGGCGGCGGGGGAGGTTGCGGGTGTGAAGCAGTGGTGCAGTGGTGGTGGTGCAGTAGGGACGGTGGTGGAGGATGGATGATGTTGGTGATCATTGAGACGACGAGTGACGGTGACCACTGGGCGCATCAGGATAGTACGTGGTTCGGTATCGCCGCGACTCGAGACGGTGTCCAACCTCGCCCTCCGGGATTTCTTGGCATTTTCTCTCGGGGTGGCCTGACTACCAAGACTTCCACTGGCAACCATCATGGCTGCGGATGCGATGCAAGGCTGGGCCTCATTGTTCCGCCGGAGGGGTCCAACCACCTGGCCTTGACTACTAGCTTGCTACCCTTTCATCCCTGCGGCCCTCCCTGTACCCTTCTGTGAGCTCACCAGCAGCACCTCGACTCCTACGTACTCTGGTTGTACGAACGAGCCCGCGAAGTGTCCGATGGACGTCGTTGGGCCCTCGGCCCACGGCGACACCTGTCCTTAACGACACTTGTCCTGGCTGAGTTCTCCTTCCCTCCGGCACTCGAGGTGCCCAACTGCCCCTGGTGTTGCTCTTGTGCGACCCCGTTTGGGCCGCGTGGGGAAACTTTTTTAGAGTAGTCAGGGTCAGCAGCAGCAGCAGCAGCAGCAGCAGCGGCGGCGGCGGCATGGCCCTAGGCGGCCGGGCCGGCCGACGTGGGCTTCGGCAATTTGGTCCCGACAGCCTTTGACCGCCCGGCCCAGTCGCCGACAGAGACAAGCGTCAGGCGTTCCGCAGGACATGCGGTGCGCCCAAGCATCGCCGCAATACGCGTCTTTCCTGGCCCAGCCAGGCAATCAATCAGGCGCAGCTTCGCGCAGCTTCGTGCGGGACCTAGCATACATCTCTCTGCGTAGAAAATTCGCCCTCTGTCAGAATGATGCTCACGCCAGGACGCTGCGTAGGCCCAAGTCCCGGATCGGGTTCTCATGCCAAGGTGACTTCTTGCTCGGATCGTGCAAGTGATGGTCATGCTCAGTTTTGGGCGACGATCGCGTGTCGGCCAAGGCTTTTGTGGTCATGGTATCAAACGAGACCGACGTCCTGCTCCTTGGGCTAGGATCGGCTGAGTCTCGATGTCGAAGGAGTCCTTGCTTGCGTAGGTGAGCGGGCCCTGTGGCACAGCCTACGTCGGAGGAGCGTCGGCGCCCAGCTGCTCGCGCACGCCGGCCAGCTCGCGTTCGTGGCGGTTGACACCGTCGTCCCAAAGCGGGCTGAAGCAGCCATTACCCAAGTCGTCGCGTTGCAGATCGCATCCCAGATCCGGGTCAGCCTACCACCAACAGCAATCGTACCCGCCACCGACGGCCATTGCACTCACCACTTGTTTGACTTTTCCTTTGATCCCCTTTGGCCCGACATCTGTTTGGGCAGCAAAGTCCATGCCATTGCCGAAAAGTCAAGGCCAGATGCTCAGTCAGCCGTCGCCCCTGGAGACCAACGTCGCGCTGGCATCCCGCGACCTAGCCGACCTACCTGGTTGAAATGCTTGTAGCCAACCTCGACGGGAATGTGCTGCTTGCACACGTAGCTGTTGGGGCTCAAAGGGATGACACGCGCATCAGGATGCTGGCGGCGCGACGGTAGAATCGGACCTCCGTCGCCCTCGACGTACCACATAAAGTGCCTGCACTGTGTGCAATAGATCTTGTTGCAGCCCTCGAACTTCATCAAGGCCACGCCGCAACTGGGCGTCGGGCATTTCCGGATCCTGCAACGCGGCGCAAGACGAGCGCTCGGTCAGCTCAACGAGACTGCGCACATCGACAGGCAACGCTGCGGCCTTTCGGAACTCACACTGCCTCGCTCAAGGCGCTCTCCGCGTGGTGCCTCGTCTTCTGTGCTTTGGCCTCTGCGAATGCGCAAAATGTTCGGGAGGGCAAGGCGTCAGTGCCCTAGTCCGTTCGATCGGCAGCTGATGCTCAACAGCCCGGTCGCCCAGGATATGGACCTTCGCACGACATCGGGATGTGATCTTCCGTCTTGCAGAGGCGGCAGCTGTCGGTATGGGCCCAGGACCGCGGGAGGTGATTTCAGTGAGCCGCTCATGGACGTCGCAATCACGGATCGTGAGCGGTCGGAGCCTGCTCACCTCGTCCGTTCGCAGTCTTCGTTGAGGCATCGGAACACCTTGTCGTCCGTGTTGTCCATGACGCATGCATACGGGCAGTAGGGGCACTCTTCCAGCCCTGCGATCCCGGCTCGCTGCAGCGACACCTCTTGCCGTAGCCGCTCTAGCAGCTGGTACGTCTTTGCCGGCAGGAAACGTTGGATCTCGCTCTCGGCGAAGCCGGCCTCGCATCCGCCTCCATCGATGCATGGCAGGTCGATGATGCGCATACCGATGCGCTCCTCGGCGTAATGCTGCGCGCACGATTTGCAGAAGAGATGGCCGTCCCGGCACTGGACGAAGTGCTCAAATGGGATGTCGTCGTCAAAGCAGCACCCGCACTCGATGCCCGCCGACGGCAGCGGCATCTCGCTCGCCAAGACGGCTTCTCCTGCAGCAGAGTGTGGTCCATCACGGCGTCAGGCCAGGTGCAACAGTCTCGACGGAGACTCAGCCTGTTCCGGCTGGTACAGAGACTTACCCTCCTCGCTGTAGACCCAGAGCACCTCCTCCTTCAATGCCGCAGGTGCTTTGATGAATGCGCGCATGCTGTCGAGCTGCTCGAGCACCAGCGCCGTGGCCCGTCTCTGCAGGAGGATCGAGTCGGCACTTTCCTTCCTCTTGAGCTTTTTAGCCGGCCGGGGAGGGTCAGCAGAATGCACCTCGGCCTGTGCCTCGAGCGACATGATGAGCAGCTGCTTGCGCGCCGGCGCAAAGTAGCCGCGAGATTCTTCGATCAAGCGCCTGCAATCGACCGGCGGATACTGGGGGAACTCGGCACGCAGCAATCGCGCCGCCTCATCGCGATAAATGCGGCCGGTCTTGGGTCGTCCCTCGGTCCTGTAGTGATTGGCCTTTGGCGGCGGCGGTGGCGCATGTGCGGAGTTCGGGGCGGTGCTGGCGGAGGTCCCAACAGTCGGCGTCTCGCTCGAAGCCTTGCGCTTGCCCTTGGCCTCGATGCGAGGATAGTCGGCACCCTGTTCGAGAATCTCGGCGCAGATCCTCTCGACAAGGTCGTCGAGGGGGCACTCGTGTTCGAGGAAGAGTTGGCGAAGCTTTGTGAGGGCGTGGGCGTGGTCCATGTCTGGGAAGATTTCGATGACGGCGGGAACGAGCTCTACGAGGGGATCTCGAGCCTGCTTGCCTGTCTTTGAGCTGCTGATTCCGAGGATGGCGCGGGCCTCGGCGCAGCCCGCCTCTCGTCGAAGGTCGCCACCGATCTGGCTGCTCGTCGCTCGCGCCTGGGGCGGCGGTCCGTCGAGCATGGCGAAGCCATTCCTTTCGACGTCCCGCTCAACGCGCTTCGGCTGCATCGCCGCCATGGTTCGCGCCGCTCCGTGCTTTTGAGGCGGCTGTAGTTCTTGCGAGCGGACAGGGGAGAGGCGATCGGCACAATGAGCGAGTGGCCGCCTGCCGCGCTGGCCGTCGCAGTGGCCCGGGTCACTGAGCCGATGGCCACCGGTTCCAGGTCAGCCTGGGCGGAGATGTACGGTTGGCTGCGTTGCCCTTCTGATAGACAGGAGGGGAGGGGCTGCTGGTCAAGTATGCCGCTTGGCCGGCGAGTCGAAGAGTGCGGCAAAGGCTGAAGGTGATGCCTGCCGAGATGGAACAGACGGTCGTGGAATTTGTGGAAGTGCTGCTGCTGGTGACGATGGTGGCGGTGGTGGCGCTGGTGGCGCTGGTGGTTGGCGACCAACAAGTCGGGCGCGTGCCCGTGTGATGAATGCGCTGTCGTGAGGATAGACAGAAGGAGCAAGAGTGGGGAGGATGGAGGTGGTGAGGATGAGCGAAACGGCTGGTCAGAGGTCAGGCGTTGGGGCCAAAGTGAGCTCTAAATTGGGCCCCCTGCCTCTGCTTTGCGCCCCGCGACTTCCCTGCCTTGCTTGCAACCACGTACTCGGCTTCCCAGCTCTACTTTGACTCGCACACCTACTCTGAAGCTGGCCCGCTTCTTCTTCTAGGGAGCTTCCAAAGCGACAGCGGCTGGTCAGAGGTACATGCATGATCTTGCCATCCTACCGCGAGCGGAAGACACATACACGGCAGGCGAGCGGAAAGGAGGGGAAGCTGGGCCAGCCACCTGCTTGTTGCAGGCCAAGCAAGACCCTGCCTCTGGAAAGCCCAACCAGCATGCAGGGCGCTCGGACCCTATTTGGGCGGACCAGGCCGACACCCGACTCCCGAAGCGGCCGTGTTTCGGGCTCGGGCTGGCCGATGCGCGAGGCGGGGCGGGCGAGCGAGCGAGCTCCTTCCGGCTCGACGTACCTCGCAATACGCGGACGGGGCATTCCAGCAGCCGTTAGAAGCCGGAAGCCTTGGATATGGTGCTCACTTGTCGTGGGCCAGGAGCAGAGCGGAGCAGAGCAGAGCAGGATGCACAGCGACCCGCACATGCTGCCTTTCGAGACATCAGCCAAGCGTGATCCTGTGACCTCTTTGAGCCTCGAGTCCGCTTGCGTGTACAGTCTTACCGCAGAGTGTCCCGCCCGCCTGCCCCCGGGGGATGACCACCTCCCGCACCACCAGACACGCTCTCGAATCTCTCGGGGGCTACACTAGCCTTGTGCGCCGTATAAAACCACCACCGACGTCGTCTCGGACAGCGCGTCCTGGCTCCTCCACCACTCCATACCATTCGCTCGCCATCGCCGCACACGGTCTCCTTTGCCGCTTGCTAGCCCGTCCATCTCTCTGTGAATCACCGCAAGGACTCGCGCCGCTTCCATCCACCGCTTCCACCAATCCGCAATGGCCAAAGACGCGCACGGCGATGAGGATCCGGCCGCCAGCATGCTCAAGATCCTCCTGGATCAGGCCGAGGACCTCGACCTCACTGACCCGACGATTCCCAAGGAAGAGCAGAAGAACCCTGGCGACCTCATGGTCCCGGGTCTCGAGTGAGCCGCGCATCTGGGCAACCCGCTAGCCTGCGAGGCTGCAACGGCATCCTGGGACATGGCGCTGACTTTCTGCATCTCATCACTACCCTGCGCTTCCCGACGCCAGGATGTCGAAGCTGCTCGCCGTGGTATGTGCATGCTCCGCGCGCTGAAAAAGTCGATGCCGGTGTGCCTGACCCAGACGACTGGTCGGCCCTGTCGAACGACATGACTCGGCGTTTGCGGTCGTTGCGACCGCTGCAGATCGAGTTCGGCCTTCTCCACTCGGCTGACGAAGAGGGCATCCTGGAAGGGCTCGACATGATCTCGAGAGAGCAGGTCATGAAGCAGGTCGTGAGTTGGCGTCGTCGTCTCGGTCATCGTCGGTGCCGCGGCCGCCTTCCGAGCAGCGTCCCCGAGGACCGCCCTGCGCTGGACAGCATGGCCTGACACATGCGCCCTACCGCTCTGCCTCGGACGCTACCACTTACTGGCTGCTGCGCCTGTCACGCAGAACGGGACGTTCCAACTCAACATCAAGCCCAGCCCTGGATCCGGCTGCAAGGACGAGGTCTACCACTTCTACGTCGATCTGCGCAAGACGGGCGAGATCAGGCCGGGCCCCGCTCCCAAGAGGCCCAAGCCCGACGTCGTCATGACGGTGAGCGACAAGGACATGGTGGCGCTCAGCATGGGCAAGCTCAACCCGCAGATGGCCTTCCTCAAGGGCAAGATCAAAGTCAAGGGAAACATCATGCTCGGCTTGCGGCTGCAGACCGTCCTCCTCACCGAGATGAACAAACTCCAGCGCACCGCCAAGCTGTAGAGGAGCGCGTCGATTCAGGTGGAGCTCGAGAGGTAGAGGCGAGGAGATGGATACAAGTGGCGGAAGGAGGGGAGTGTGTGGTGTCAGAGAGACGAGGCGAGAGAGGCCCGCTGAGCGCAAGCGCAGAGAGAGGGAGGGGCATGGAAGCGCGACGGGGCTGCGGCCGCCACCATTCGCGCCGGCGATCGCTGCAGAATGCTGTGTCTGTTCCGTTCCTGCCTGGGCAGGAGTGCCATGGCCCTTCTCGAGAAGAAGCGTATATGCCTTTGCAGTAGCCTCTGCTGTGGCTGTGTTGGGAAGGTGCCACGCCACTACGTCTAGCGTGTCCGGGCGCCTGCTACGTACGTATCTCGTCTCATCGCGACCGACGCACCATTTTGAATGGCGACAGCGGGCCAATTGTCGTCGGCTTCGGAGCACTCGACTCCCCACTCCTCAGCCAAACACGCGCATTCGCAAGTCGACGTCCGCGCTCACGGTCGGCCCCTGATGAAGCCATACCAGGCGCCCGCTCCTTCGTACCGCGCGTGAGCTCACGCTCTCTGTTGTGGCAGCGTGGCCGTGAACGCGAGGTGGCTGGTCAGCCGTTTCGCGAACTTCTGCCCGTGGAATCGGTCACCCAGCCAACGAGGCGCACACATCAGCGCCTCCTCGGGGCGATGTCCTGTCGTGAACTCGAGAGATTAGAGAAGCCAGATGAAAGGGCGTTCGACGAGGCCGGCCAAGGCAAGCCGGGGCATTTGGCCCACAACAGGAGCCGCGAGCCCGCTCTGACTCCTGTTCGACCGGCCTCGAGCTCAACGTCGGAGACGGAGCACTCTTGCACGTGCCCGGAGGCTCTGCCAATGCCAAGCTAAGATTGACTAGAGGACGCCCAGAGGGATGACGCGCAGGCCGCGATGGTGGAAGCGGTGTAGTGAGGGTAGTCAAGCTGATGGCCGCACCGAATCAAACAGCCCGCAGAGTTGATATCGGACGTCGCGATGGATCTCGCAGCGACTAGCTGTGGCGACCGTGCGTGGGACGATATCGACAGCTGGCAGGCCTGTGGTCAGGCCTTTCAGCAAACGTCGCGGCGGTGCTCGCATAGTCGGGTTCCATGTAGGCGACCCAGGAGCAGAGACCTCCCCAACCTAACCGGGCAAAGGCTAGGGCGCGTGACCACGCCTTGGCTAGGCCTCGAGGCGGCCACCCAGCAGCTTGGCAGCCAGGCGGGTCAGGCCTTGCCCGGACAACCCGCCCCCTCGACCACAAGCAAGCGACCGCAAGCAAGCATCTGGCAGGAATAAAATCTTGAATTTCGCCGCTGCTTTGTTTTTTTTTTGTTGGGTCGTGGACAGCTGCTAAAGTGGAGGAAGGAGGCCGCGTGTGCATGGGCCAGCCCGCCCGACTGCTCCTGCTTGCTCCCGGCCTAGCCTGTTGACTCGTCGGCCTGCTGCCAGATGATGGAAGGGTCGATCCGGTATGAAGCTGCCAAGCTCGCCTGTCGAAGATGCTGCGCGCCGCCACCGCTTCGCGTGGAGGGGACAGAAGGGGGGGGGATCCCGAAGCAGCAGGCGGCCTGAGGCCTGCGAGCAGCCTTGCCGGCCAGAGTGCGGTGCGTTACAGGCTGTACATGCTGCCCTTCGCGGACCGAACTGGACGTTGTGTGCAGCCTCGGTCCCGCCCGTTGTCGTCCTCCTCGATCTCGCCCTGGGTGCGCCATGGTCCAGCCATCACTACTCGAGTTTCGGTGGCGGCAAGATGGCCTCGGGATCAGCTCTCTGCTGAGAGGTGCTGTCGCTGGTGTGAGCAGGAGGGCGAGTCACAAGCAACGCAAGCAAGCCGCAGGCCAGGGAGAGAGAGGTAAGAGAGAGCTGAGGGCGGCGGGCCCAGGCCAGGTCAGGAGGGCAGCGACGGGGCCACGGGGTGGGGCCCGATCGCGTTCTCTGCGTTGAACGCCAGGCTGGGTGACCAACCAGCCAACCAGCGGCCTGCCTGCCCACTTGCCCGCCTTGCCAGGCCTGGCTGCCTAGCCTGGCTTTGCGCCATGGCCTATGCGTGGGGCTGCGTCAGGTGTCCGCGGTCGACGTGAACCCGCCGTTGGTGCGTCCGAGCTGGGGTGCCCAGCTGGCCTCTCGAGAGGCAGGGCTGCGCAGCCCTCGCCGCCCGCCTGCTTGCTTTGGTTTTTCGTTTTCGCCTCGAGGGCTAGGCCCTGGCAGCCTGACTGGCCGGGCCAACGCCCAGGAGGCAGGCAAACGGCCAGCTCGCGGCTGCGTGCCTCTGCCTCTCTTTTCCCTCTGACCGCTCGGGAGCCAGGCGAGGCCGCTGTGCCCCCGTACGCCAGCCTGGCCTGGCCTGGCTTGACTTTGCCCGGCCGCCCGTCCGCCCAACTCCACGACGCACCTCGCATCGCATCGCAGCCCGGCCGCCCGTCCGGCTGCCTGGCCACCAGCCATCCGCCAGCCAGGCCCGCGCCCCGCTCCGCCGTGGCCCCCCCCGCTTTGGCCTCGTCACAACCTCCATCACCCTGACCACCACCACCATCACCACCATCACCGTCGTCATCACCACTGCCACTGTCATCGCCACTGGCCCGTCTACAAACAGCTCCGCCACATCCGCCTTCGTCGTCGATCGCGCTACACAGTCATTGCCAGCGTCGTCTGTGGGAAAGCACAGACCTCTTCACCGCCAGTAACTGCTCCCCACAAACGCGCGGACTGCCCCTTGCGCGTCGCCCTACACGTCGGCCTGCTAAGCATCGCCCGGTCCGCTCGGAAACACCATCTCCTCGGCTGACGACAGCATCGCTTTCGGCACCTCCCGCCTCGACCTCGTGCGACCAAGTCACCCGGGTCACCTCCCAGCGCGAGCTCTTTCTCGTCCTCGCAACCGCACTCTAGTGTGATCCACCCGATCCTTGCCCGACATTCCGTCGACAAAATCAGACGCGTCTGCACGGACTAATCGCCTCGACCTTCCAACGGAACGCACTCCTGCCGCCGATCGTGCCTTGTGACACCACCTCCCTATACTTTGCAAGATGTCCAGTGCGCCTCTCAACGGCGTCAAGCTCAACCGTGAGTCGACCCGACGCGACCATCTTCATCTACTCGAATGGCCTGTCTCCCCGCTCGGAGCCGCCTGTGTGCAGCGCAACCACGTAGCCCCTGTTTCGACTCTCTGGCTGCCGATCCGGGCGTGGCTCGATCGCTGACCCTCGCCTTGCCCCCTTGCCTCTCGCCTCTCCCTCTCGCCCGTAGCGCTCGATGACCCCAACAAGGTCATCAAGGTGGTCGCCTCCGACGGCCGCACCGGAGAGCAGAAGGAAATCGCCTACACCAACTGCAAGGTCGTCGGCAACGGCAGCTTCGGCGTCGTCTTCCAGGCCAGGCTTGTCACCGGCGGAAACGGAAACCTAGTTGAAGGTGCGGGGGCCTCTCAAGATCAGGGCGCCGCCGCCGGCACCAGCAAGGAACAGCAGGAGGACGTCGCCATCAAGAAGGTGCTGCAGGACAAGCGGTTCAAGGTGAGTGTTGGGGACCGCCTCGGAATGCCGGCGTAGCTCCTCGTCCGGACGCCGGCGGGACGACGACAGATGCTCCCCTGCGCTGCAGCCTGCTCCGCGTTGGCCAGATGTCTGGCCACCTTGGCTTTTGATCTATCGTGTCCCGCTTCAGCCCGGAAGCGTTTGGCGGCCCGATCCTGACCAGTTCGAACTTGTCCGTATAAACCGTATGCTAACGCTGTGTTTCGCGCTCGCTTCGCTTTGGATGACGCTGCCCTTTCATTTCCCCACAGAACCGCGAGCTGCAAATCATGCGCATCGTTAGGCACCCCAACGTCTGCGATCTCAGAGCTTTCTTCTACTCAAATGGCGACAAGGTAAGTTGGATGCTAAGTGGTGCGCCCCCTCCCAAGGCCCATAGACTGGTGTGGATGACAACGTTCGGCTTTCGAGAGGGCGAGCTGACGCCGAAACGTCCGCTCTGCCTGCGTCCGTTGGTATCTTGACGGACCGCTCATTCCGCTCTTGCAGAAGGACGAGGTCTTCCTCAACTTGGTCCTCGAGTACGTGCCCGAGACCGTCTACCGCGCCTCGAGACACTACGCCAAGCTCAAGCAGACGATGCCGATGCTGCTGATCAAGCTGTACATGTACCAGCTCCTGCGCAGCTTGGCCTACATCCACTCCATCGGGATCTGCCACCGCGACATCAAGCCCCAGAACCTGCTGCTCAACCCCACCACTGGCATCCTCAAGCTGTGCGACTTTGGCTCGGCAAAGATCCTCGTCGCTGGCGAGCCAAACGTCAGCTACATCTGCTCGAGGTACTACCGGGCGCCCGAGCTCATCTTTGGTGCGACAAACTACACGACCAACATCGACATCTGGTCGACTGGGTGCGTCATGGCCGAGCTCATGCAGGGTCAGCCGCTCTTCCCCGGAGAGAGCGGCATCGACCAGCTCGTCGAGATCATCAAGGTGCTCGGCACGCCCTCGCGCGAGCAGATCAAGACCATGAACCCCAACTACATGGAGCACAAGTTCCCGCAGATCCGGCCGCATCCGTTCAGCAAGGTCTTCCGACCGCGCACGCCTCCGGACGCCATCGACCTCATTTCGAGGCTGCTCGAATACACGCCGAGCGCGCGGCTCACGGCCGTCGAGGCATTGTGCCACCCCTTCTTCGACGAGCTGCGGACCGGCGAGATCCGCATGCCCAACGGGCGCGAGGTGCCCGCGCTCTTCAACTGGACCAAGGAGGAGCTCTCGGTGCGACCGGACCTTATCCCTCGTCTCGTACCGCAGCACGCCGAGGCCGAGCTGCTCTCGCGAGGCATCGACGTCCACAACTTCCAGCCGCTATCGCCGGAATCGCTGCGAGTCTCGCTGGACTAGGCGGCCACGGGCGCGCGGCACACGTAGAGCCAGTCGGATGCGGGAACGATGGTCGTTGGAGGCGCGGCGGCATCTCGACGCTTGCTCTGAACGATGTGGAACGGAGACATGTCACACACGAGGACCTGCCTGCTATCATTCTTTGGAAGGCGAAGACTGGCCGCTTTGCACGACTCCCTGGCGCCGCTCCGGGCCCCGTGTCGCGGTCGCAATTCGGAACCTCGAGCGATGCAGCGCAGGCCTGAGCTCTCGCTTCTGGACCTGCGCCCACGGCGGCAGCGATACGCATCGCATCCGGTCGCCGCCGCTGTCGGCCGCCCCCTCCTTCACTTCGACACTCGGCAGCCAGGCCGCCTGGACTGGCGCACCATGTCCGCATCGGAAGGGCGCCAGATGCTAGCGCTTGGTAGCGCCCTCTGGCGTGTTCTTTCGCGCCCGCTCAGCCGTGCAGCCCGCTGTCGCCACTGTAGCCTCGACACCGCCTCCTCCGCCACGGTGGTTTTTTCTTTCGATGTCGTCCTGGGGGACCCTCTCACCTCCTCGCACTGCCTGCAGTCCCTTGTCATCCCCTCTCTCTCCGCATCAGCCCTCTAAAGTCCACCATCCTTACTCGCTCGCGCCGATCCATACTCTGGCTCCTCGGCGTCCCCCCTCTTCTTAGCTATCGTCAGCCCGCGTCCCGGTTCTCCCTTTCCTTTTCCTTCCCCACGCATACAACTCTTTCCCCGCCCTTCGTACGAAGCTCACGAACAAGTTGCTGCGCCCTCAAGCCAAGTAGTAAATGTTGTATCAACCTTGAAAAGTGCTGCTCATGATGGTCTCCCTATCCACCCCGAGCCGGACGCGTTCCACGCTGCCCTCTTCCCTTCCTTCGAACCTAGTCGTCTATTTACGTAGCCGCCTACGCCATTCGCCTCGATCCCTGACGTCCTCGGAGATTTCCCAGAGGAGCTCCCGTCTGGAGAGGCAGCTTCACAGGGCTCCGTGAGGTAGGCGGGATAGCTCTCCGCGTCCCGGTGCCTGTCTCGTCCCTTGATGGATCCTTTTCGCCGGGGGCAGGTGGTAACTAGTCTCCATGCTACGTTTGGACTGCTCAGTTGCTTAAGTAGCGCTGGCGAGTCCCCTGTTCCTCTTCGACGACAGAGACTCCCAAAGCCGTAGGGAGCGGCTTGCCGATCTGTAGGTCGTGGCACGTTAGGAGGGTCGCATCCCGCCTCATGGAACGTCGATGCCGGAACCTTTATTCCGGGGCAGCGGTGTCGGGTGCGGCAGCCGGTGCACGCCCTTTCGTGTTCACCGACAGGTCTGCCTTCCAGGCGTCATCAGCAGACCGTTCGCGTTGGCATCCTCAGGGCCATGTTTCCACGCACGAGAATGGGTGACCGTCCACTCAGGTACAAGAAGGGGGCACCTGTCCGTGGCCGCTCCGCGATCCCTCCCCGATCGAACCCTCATCCCGTCTCCGCCCCCCTCTTCCCCGTACCTGGCACACCATATCTCTGCAAGCCCATCGCAACAAAGCTACGATGTCGCCAGAAGCTGCTGCTGCTGCTTCTGCCAACGTCACGGGCTTGTTGATGTACGGCACCGCTAAGCAACACGATCGGTCCCGCTTCCCGTGGCACGAGTCCATCGAGAAGCTGTGGACAACCAAGTGGGAACCACTGGTGAGCCACCTTGATACACTTTGACGGGCTCTGCGCTGTGCAACGTCCTGACCGCGGGCCCATGGCATGCTTCGTGCGCCGACCAAATGCCAGGTCAGGATTGGAGCCTACCCGTTCGACCGGTGGAGCCAGCATTCAGACTTTGAGGCGATTATGACCAGCCTTGCAACCAAGCATGCTGGCGTTTCGGCCAACGATTTCGACGAGGACGAGTGGGCGTCGCACTTTCTCGAGCCCGGCGCGGCCATCCTCCGCCAGGCGCAGGAGTACGATGCGCAGGGCGAGAGGGAGAAGGCCATCGAAACCTATCTTCGCAGCGCTGCCGTGTTCAGAATCGGGACGTATCCCTGGTTTGGTCACACGAGTCGGTCGCAGGCCAAGGCCAAGACCTGGCAGCTTGACAAGCTGGCATACGAATCAGCCATGAGGTGAGCGCCGGTCGCCACAACATGGTCGAGCAGAGCGGTCGCTGACATACGCAGCACGCGCACGTCGCTGGGCAGGCTGGACGAGTACCGCTTCGAGACGGTCGACATCCCCTTCAACAACGCTCCGCCGTGCAGCTCGGCGCTGGTGATCCCAGCCTATGTCACAGCGCCGAAGCCGCCGGCAAAGTCCACCAGAGTGATCCTGATCATCGGAGGGCTGGACCTGTACAAGACCGGACCGCTGCAGATGATCTCGGAGGTCTGCGACATGGGCTACACCGTCGTGCACGTCGACATGCCTGGCACAGGCGACTGTCCCATCACCGGCAAGGGCACCGAGGACGATCGCGCGCTCTGGAAGTCGATCCTAGACTGGATCGATGAGCAGAAGGGGCCGCGAGGCTGGAGCGAGGAGGGAATCTACGCGTGGGGCCTCTCGAGTGGCGCCTACCACTCTGTCAAGCTTTCACGCTACGAGAGGCAGAGGGTCAAGGAGGTCCTGGTCCATGGCACCGCCAGCCACTATACATTCAACGCAGAGTGAGTCCTTGAGAGTCGCCGCTCGCGTCGATGGCGCACGTTTTCGCTGATCCAGGCATCCGCTGTCCTCTCCAAACCAGTTGGCTCGAGTCGGCCGACCATCTCTACTACTCGGTGGCGTAAGTGAAGCTTCCACACTGCCGCCGGTACCTGAGGGAAACCACACTGACCGCGACGGCATCGAATCGTCCGTCGCGCTTTGCAGCTACTGGTCGTCGATTGCCAAGGCATTTGGATACCACGACAAGCACGAGTTTGCTCGAGAGTGCCAGAGGTACTCTCTACTCAACCAGGGCCTTCTGGATCGCCCAGGCACACGTCTGACAGTCATCAACGGTATCGAGGACAGCGTGGTGCCCATCGGTGAGGAGCCTACCCCACCATGTCGGCAAGTCCTCTGGCTGAAAATGGCTGGCTGATCATCGACGCTTCTCTGCCTTTTCCTTTCTGCAGACGACTCGATCCTGCTCTCGTCGCGCGGTACTGGCGCGACGCTGCTCCTCTTTGCCGGGGAAGACCACATGGGGCTCCCATCGGCCGAGCCGTTCCTAAAAACGTTTTGGCGGAGCCGCTTGACGTGATCCAACGGCAGCGGACTAGGGACAGAGATGACTGCCACGGCGGCCGGAATGCGCTCTTCTGGGTTACAGAAATGCAATGATAGACGTACCTTACCGTCCGAGGATGTGCGCAGATCCTGGGCTCTGCTGAGTGGCGGTGCGGTGGTGTTGTGTGTCGATAGAGCGGCAGAGAGCTCAGTCGGCTGGAGGAGGAAGCGACCAACGTCCCAACTCTTTCGCACGAGACGTTCGCCAGGGGGCGCGCTCTCACTCCACTTCGGGTGTCGGGCCGCGCCTGGAAATTTTGCCTCCGGGGCCGTTGACCCCTCAGCAGCTCGCCACCCACCCCACACGCGCCAACCACCAGAACCGCCTCGCACCGCTTCGCCATCGACCTCGGCCCGCTGCTTTGAACCACCATCAATCGGCGCAGCGCTACGAACGTCTCCGACAACTTCGATCAGCTCCACCGCGCGTACAACCGCACCACGGCGCCATGACCAAGATCAAGAAGATCAAGAAGTTCGGCGAGACGAAGCGTCTCCTCTCGCCCAACGATGCCCGACTGTAAGTCTACAGTGGCCCGTCGTGCCCCTATCGATGCGATCTTGGCCGACTTACACACCCATACCTTGCGTTGCACGCTCTCCGCCCATTCTGTCCGTATCACATTCAACAGCAAGCAGAACCAGGTCAAAGTTGCCGCCAAGAAGACGAAAAGCGCCGATGACAAGCCTCAGGTGCGCCACATTGACACGCCGGCGTCGTCGATGTTCTTCGAGCACAACACGCAGCTCGGCCCTCCCTACCGCGTCCTGGTCGACACCAACTTTATCAACTTCAGCCTGCAAAACAAGATCGAGCTCGTCCAAGGCATGATGGATTGCCTTTTTGCCAAGAGTAAGTCCCGACCCTCCCCGCTCCTCCTTACACATCGTCATGCCTGCAGCGTCTGACCGTTGCGTCCCCCTTCGTGCCGCTCCTCTGCTGTCCCCTCCTCTCCGTTCCGACAGGCATCCCGTGCATCTCGACCTGCGTCCTCTCCGAGATCGAGAAGCTGGGACCCAAGTACCGCATGGCGTTGCGCGTGGCGCGGGATCCGCGCTTCGAGCGCCTCGAGTGCTCGCACAAGGGAACTTACGCCGACGACTGCATCATCGAACGCATACAAGCGCACAAGTGCTACATCGTCGCCACCTGCGACCGCGAGCTGCGACGCAGGGTCAGAAAGGTGCCCGGCATCCCGCTCATGTACATCGCCAAGCACCAGTACCGCATCGAGAGGCTGCCCGACCAGGGCATGGCCAACTAGCCAGCACGCACGACAGACAAGCTGCACCCCGGGAGCAGCCGGCGCAAGATGACGACGGCGACGGCGACGACGACGACGTGGGCAAGGAGGAGGTGGTCACGACTTTTTGTACTTTACTGTGTTTCCCGTTTCGCATCGACCCAGAGCCTCAGAACCAAGCATACGTCCGCAACTCTGCGCGCGGGACGGCTGTCTAGCGTTCGGAGGCCACCACGAGGCAAGGAGCGGTCGGCAGTGAGAGGGGTGCGTGGACATTCTACATTACGGATGCAAACGAGGATACAGCGTGCTCGAGGACGGTGTCGGGGCACGGGGCAAGGGAGAGTGGGGTGTTGAGGCGGCATCCGAGCGGGCGAGGGTCCCGACTGAACGCGACGGCCGGTTGCGGCGATAGCCACGGCCTAGAGATTGTTTTGACGCCATAGCATCGCTGTCGCTATCAACTGACTGCTCCTCACATGGGCACCGTCACATGGGCACCGTCGGCGGCGTGGGCGGGGGAGCGTTGGGGTCCATCTCTCCGCCGCTCTCAATCGAGATGCCGAAACCAAACTTGCTGGCGCCCTGGAGGTGGTCGATCTCACCGCTGAACGTGAGGCCAAAGGCGGGCGACAGCCGCGTCTCGTAGACCGACGAGATCTTGCCCATCGAGTCGACGGCGGCGCGGAGAGTGGCCATCCGGAAGGCGTACCTGGCGCCCAACGTGGCCTGCGCCTCGCGCTTGGCGCCCATCGCCACGACCTGGAGGTCGGCGGCGACATCGACCTGCTCGCTGAGTTTCTGGTAGTAGGTGCACTGGGCCACGCCCTGCGGCTGGACCTGGGCGGTGGCGATCCAGTCCTTCTTGTCGCCCGTCAGCTTGGCCAGGTAGCCGGTCGAGGCCTCCTCCATGTCGGCCGAGGGTCGCTGGTAGACGGTCTCGACACCGAGGGCAAAGTTGCGCGTGAGCGATTGGAGGTAGTTGACAATGTAGATGCCCGTAAAGTCGGCCGGCGAAGGGTTGAGCGCCTTGATGTTGGCGCTGTGGTCGGCTCCCTGGTAGTCGTGCTCCATCTGGACAAAGCTCTGGCCCGCAGTTGCGCTGAGCTGCGCCTGCACCTTGGTCGTGTGTCCGGGTACCCAGCCGCGGTTGGCGCGCATCGTGACATTGAGGCCGTCATCAAGACCCGCCTGGAAGAACGACTGTTGGGGGGGACGGCAAGGAGGGCAAAAGAGGAAGGTTGATTCGGCGGATACAGGGCGAGAGGCGGCGTCAGCGGGCTGCGTGAGCGGAGAGCGGAGAGCGACTGCAGCCCTTCTGGGCACGCACCTTGGAGTCGCCGTAGACTGCGCCAAAGTTGTAGGAGCCGGGGGCACCCGGCTGGCCCAGGGAGAAGGCATGTGTGACCTGGAAGATGGGGTTCATGCTGAGAGCCTTTGTGAGGTCGGCTCTCGCGCCCTCGAACATGAAGTTGGTGGGGTGGACGCCTGGAGCAGAGGGTTGAATGGGACAGTGGGGCGCGGAGCTGGGTCAGTTGCGATGCTCGTCGGGCAAGTCGATGCGGCACCCGGGTGCGTTCGGGGCCGATGCTCACCCTTGACCTCGCGCTGGAGGTGCTCGACGGTGCCCGGGTTGGAGAGCTCGAGCCTCTGTCGTACATCCTGGATGGACTGGATGGCGCTAGAGATGGGGGAGACGATGGGGTCGAGGAAGCCAAACAGGGACGACGAGGGCTTGGCCGAGCGGGGTGGTGTGATGCCGCTGGGGAAGGCGTTGAGCTTTTCGTCGACGAAGGGGCCGGGGTTGGTGGAGCCGATGTGCTCTGCGCCCGAAGGTGGCGGGGGCGGGACACCGGCTGCGGCGTAGGGGTAGGTCTGGGGCGGCGCCGTAGATGCCATGGTGTGGTGCAGGTGCGAGTGGCGACGCTGGCGTCAGGGGAGGTGTTGCTGTGCGCGGCGGTAGTGGTGATGGACCCAAGCGTGGTTCGGCTGGGTAGGTGCGACGTAGATCGACCGGAAGAAAGGAGAAGAGCGAGCTGGCGAGCGAGGTGGCAGGTGTCCGCACGGGGAGGGACGGTAGGATGCGGAGTGATGCGACGAGGTGGTCGGTGGGCCAGGCGTGGAGGAGCGTGGCGTGTCGGTGGAAGATGGAGGGCAACGACGTGGTGGTGGCCAGACTGACGAGGCGAGGACAGGGTTGGCTGGCTTGGCTGGCTTGGCTTTGCCGGCCCCGGCTTGCGTCGTCTGGCTTGGCCTGGCGGGTGTGCGGCGGTGGAGCTCGAGTTGTGGGTCAGCCGCCAGGCTTTCCCCGATCGTTGCAAAGTCGGGACTGGCAGGCCAAGGCCAGGCAGGCAAGATCCGGGCAGGCGGGCTTTCTTCCCGCCCAGCCTGGCCGGCCGGCCCCCTTGCAAAACTTTTTTTTCTTCCTTTGCCAGCCATCTGCGGTGCGCCTCTCCCGTACGTCAGCCGGCATTCGGGCGGGGCCAGCCAGCCAGCAACAGCACCCACGCGTCCTGGACACGATACCACGTACTTCGCGCACCTCTCGTAGCAGAGTGCATCCTGGCTCAATTCATCACGACGCGGCAGCGAGGCAATGCTTGCTAGCACAGCCGGTGTCGCTGCGGCAGCTTTGGTGTTGGCTGAGCCCTGCGACCCAAAGCCCCGCTCGAGATGCAACGGGGCCTTCGACGGCTAGGGCAGCAAGTGCGCAGTCGGTCGGAACGGTAGAAGTACAGATCGGGATCGAGGAACCATGACATGAGCCTGTGTCGGAGCGCACCATATGCTGCGTCACGGCGAACTTAGAACGCCGATACGAAGACGTGATGGAAACAAGCATTGCTGCTTTGCTCCGCCATCCAGCTGGCATGGCGCAAGCTTCAGAATCGGCCGCAGCCGCGGCCCCAGCCCCCTCCAACGCCTCGCGACGGCTGGTCGCCGCGGCCATGGGCACCATAGGGCGAGCCACCGACCGCAGGCTGACCCGTCCACCCAGCGGGAGGAGGACCATGCGCGCCCCGGCTATCGGGGCCACCGTAGGGTGGGCCGTGCGTGCCAGACCCCGGCGGCGGGTATGCGGGCGCCGACGGACCGTGATAGCCCATCGCAGCCGGAGGTGGCGGAGGCGCCTGGCCGGCGAAGCCAGGATTCCACCGCGCAGAAGTGGCAGGCCCCTCTTGGCCGGCGCCCCCGCCGTAGGGGCCGTACTGGCTTGCCTGCGGGGCGCCAGACCAGCCTCGGTGTGGCGGTCCTTCAGCACTTGGAGGCGCCGTCGGATTGGCCGCCCAGCCCGTGTGAGGATCGTAACCGCCTCCGGCGGGGCCAGAAGCAACCTGAGACGGACTGTTGCCGCCGCGGCTGTCCCCGACCTTCTCTAGGAATGGTGGCGGCCGAGGGGCGGGGCCCGGCGGCGGCGGGAGGGGTGACCAGGGCGTGGCATCGGGGTTCGACGCGTGCTGGGCCGGCATCGGCGACCACATGTTGGTCGAGCTGGCGGCCGCTGGCTGATGCGGGGGCGTGGGTCCCTGTTCCAGCAAGCTCGACGTGGATTTGCTGATCGATCGTAGCAGATCTTGGAGGGCCGTGGTAGTGATCCCAGCCTCGGGCGGCGCCGGCTGCGCCAGGCTCGGCGGAAGGGAAGCCGCTGCCAGAGCTGCCGGCGCCACCGGCGTAGCGCTGCTGGATGCGGAGCGCCCCGCCTGCGCATCGATGCTGGCCTCGCGCTCGGGTTGAGTCACCGACCTGCGCTTGCCCCTCGCCAGCCTTTGCGCCTCGTGCTCGATCGCGCCCGCGTACACGACGATGGGGATGAGGAAGAGATCGCGATCCCGGCGCTGCGCCCAGTCCGGACCCAGGGCGTCGGACTCGACGAGGTCCAGCCAGAGAGGCACCGGATCTTCTCGCTGGAGTGGCACGAGGTAGACGTCCTTTAGGATCCCGCTATCGCGGGCCCGCGTCGACTTGTGCAGCACGCCCCAGCGGTCCAGCGACTTGAAGTGCTCCACAACCTTTGCAAATGCGGCCGTGTTGGCTGCCTCGCTGTGGACGGCTTCGGCGCCGGCGGGCGCCACGGCGATCGGATCAAAGTTGGCCTCCAGAGTGAAGACGATGATCCTGGTCTTGGCCGAGGTCCGCACCTGCATCAGATAGTCGGCCGCCATCTTGGAGGGCAAGCGACCCTCGATTACGCTTTGACTCGTCGGGAAAAAGTAGGGCCACACCCAGGGCTGCCCCACGACGTCCTGTCCAGCAACCTGGCGGGCGAGGCCGCAAAAGTAGCCCACATCGGGCAACACCATCGAACCCGCCCAGATCACGGGGCGGTAGCGGTGCATCCATGCGCTCGGCGGATCGGCCTCGGGGGTCTTGGCCGCTCGAATCGGTCGTGATTCCTGCTCCGCGACTTCAGGCCGAGAGGCATCCTCATCGCCGCCAAGGAAGGTGTCGATGAAGTCGTCGGCGTCTCCTGCAGCGCCGCCTGGATCGCCCGCGAACGGCGATCCGTCGCCCTGGGACAGATTCACCTCGGGAGGGAAGTCGGGCTGGAAGACGTCGATGGCGCCGTCGTCGGCTCCATCGAGGCCGTACCGTCCTGCTGCATCGTCGGCGCTACCGTGGGCGATGCCCGCCGACGGCACCCTTTCGGACCCGCTCCAGACGCTCGAGAAGTCGAACTTGGTCGTCGGAGACTGCAGTACGGTGGCGCTTAGGGCCCGAGTTCGGGACGCTGGGCTGGAGCCTACATCCTGCTCGAGGCCAGCAACGTTGGCGACGACACCTCTGGCAGACGGCGGCGATGCCGAGGACCGGTGATCTGCGGACGCGGATGCAGAAGGTTGAGGAGCTTCGACCTGGGGCGTGCTTGCTGAGCGTGGCTTTGGCGCCTGGGATGTGGACGCTTCGGTGCTTGATGAGATGGCCGCCCCGGCTTGGCCACCCACGTTGGCGTTCTCGGTCCGGGCCTGCGCGAATTTGCCGCCTTGATCCTGGCTCGAAAAAGTGTCGCTCTCGATCTCAATCTCGCCCTTGTGCGTAATCTTGCGGTGAGGGCCTTCCTCTGTCTTGAGCAAGGTGATGCGGTGGAGCGCCTCCTGCTTTGCCTTTTCAGTGGCCTGCCGGATGCTCTCGTTGGCGAGTTCGTCTTTGGACATGTGGGCGAGGTCCTTGGCAAGCAGCTGTCCGCTGGCGATGCGCAGGTGCAGGCCCTGGTTCTGCCTGTCCTTGAGGCTGAAGAGAAAGGTGCGGAACTTCTCGCGGTACTTCTGGCCCACGGCCTTTGTGGAGCCAGACTGCTCGGCAGTGAGCTCGAACATCTCCTGCTCGAACGCCTCGGCGTACTCGCGCGCCCGCTCGCCCGGCGATTTGGACTGCTCGACGACGTCCAGGCTGATGGTGCCGCCTGCATTTTGGATCGGGGCGAGCGACGTGTCTGTGAAGATTGTCTCGAGCACGCTCGTGATGACGCGGCGGGCCGGAGCGCGGGCAGCTTCGACCTCGTCGAGGCCCGAGGCACGCGGAGCGGCGCCGCCAGAGGCGTTCCTCCTGCTGGTGCCCGAAGGCGCCTTGGCGCCCTTGGACGCCGAGACGGATGGTCGACGCGTGGGGCTGCCGAGGCTGGTGCCGTTGGAGGACTTCTGTCGCGCCGAGGGAGCAGCTGCCTCCGAGTCCTTCCTCTTCACGGCATTGCCCACCGAAAGGCCAGGCCGAGGTCTCGGTTCAGAGGGAGAGGCGGCCGTGACAGACGGGCGACGTCCAGCCTTGGCTTTGTCGACGTGATTAGCTGCAGTCGCGTCACTATCGGTGCGCCTTCGCTTCGGGGTCCTCGACGACTGTGGCAGGCTTCGCTTCGCGCACGAGGTCGCTTTGCCACTGCCTCCATCTTCGTCCTCCTCGTCCTCCTCATCCTCGGCGTCCTCCTGCCCGCTCTCAACGTGCTCTGAGCCGCTGTCACCGCTCGACTCGGCGGCGGTCGTCTCAGCAGAGGATGCCCGACTCTGCTGACCGTCGCTGCGCTCATCGTCGGCCGTGGCCTTCGCCTTGGTTGCGCCGTCCGTGTTGCCTGTGAACGGAAAGAAAAGGGGAAGTCCAGTGATCAGCATCTTGGTCGCAGGTGCGGGTTGGATGCTGCAGGTGCCATTCGGACAAGTTGCGGCTCGAGGCGCCTCTTTTCCCCGCCTCCATCTGCGCCGCGCCGAACGCCACTCCTCTCCGCTTCCGCTTCCGACGCGGGCGACCGGCTGGCTGCCTCGTGGCTGCCCCGTCCGCTCGGCGTGCTCGGCACACGTCCATCGGCTGGCTCGCCAACCCAATCGATGCACGTCTCGAGGCTTTCGGCCGGGCCCCGTCGCTGCGACAACACCGCACTTCCGCAGAGGATGGCACCAGGCGTGGTTGGGGTCCGGCCGCCAGAAGGCCTCGAGTCGGACTGCACGATTTGAGGCGGGGCTCGCAGCCGCCAAGCTTGCGACCAGCGCCGGCACCGCTGCGCGCCAAAGGGAGCAAGCGGCGGCTCCGATGTGCGATGCGAACAACGTCACGCGCGGCCGGTCGCAGTCTGGCGACGACACCGGGGGCGCGGCGCTACAAGACATCATACGCGTGGGGCTACGGGGGAAACGCTTCATCACGGAGGCTTTTTCGTCTTTTGTTTGGATTCGCGGACATGGCAAGCAGGTACGAAGAGCGGCGCTCGCCAGCACGAGCAGCAGGTCCACCGCAGAGGAGGAAGACGCAGCACGCGACGAGGCGGTGCGGATCTTGAGCGGGGCGTCGAACTTACCTTGATCGTCTTTGGAGCCGCGGCCGCTCTCTAGGCACGACGGGCAGAGATACTCGGACAGGTTGCGAGCCGCCCTCTTTGTCAGCTTGACGCAGCTGAAATGAAACCTGGACGGGCGGGACCGTGCCGGAACGGGACGGCAAGGGATGAGGGTATCTCGGCGGCGTGTCAGAGGAAGGCGCAATGGAATCGCATGGGGCGGACCCACACGCCTTCGGCCGTGAGGCGACTCACCAGTCGTGGCAGCCTTCGCAGGAGATCATCGGGGTCCCGTCGTCCTTGCCTTTGCAGATGCAGTAGACGGCGTCGTCGGCGTCGTCATCTTGGTCATCCTGGTCCTCGTCGCCGCCCGCGGGCACAGATGCGGCACCATCCTGCGCTTGCTTTGTGGGTTTGGGCGCGCTCTTACCTTGTCCGTCGTTGGCGTCTTTCGATGGCTCTTGAGGCTCCGGATGCTTGATCCTCGAGCTGCGACGAGTGGGCCTGGCTGCGGGGTCGTCGCTGGATGCGACGGTGCTCGCTTGCGGCGCGTCTTGGCCCAAAGCTCGGCGGGTGGGCTTCTTGACGCGGCTTCCCCTCCGGGGACCGTCGGCCGAGGGCAAAGGCTCCGTATGGTTGTCGAGGCCAGCTTCGGGCGAGGCTGACGCTGCAGGGGCCGCGGAAGCGGATGCGGCTGTTGCGGTGGTCATGGCTTGTGTTGCAGCGTGCTCCGCGTGTGGGGGATGTTTGCTGTCTTGGGAGGTGTTGAAGTGCTCGCCTTGGCGAGAAGCGCTCTGAGGGCGCGCACACTCTGGTGCTGTGGCGGAAGGGGAGAGAGCAGGTGGTGGTGGTGGTGGTGGTGGTGGAGATGGAGATGGTGGAGGCGGATGCAGCTGCTGAGGCTTTGCCGCCTGCCCCCCCCCACTCTGGAATTTTCGTCAGGCAGTCAGGGTCGCGCGCGCGTCGCAAGGGCGGGGTAGCTAGGGCCAGGCCAGCCTTGGCTGGCCTAGGTGAAGCCAGCTCGACCGGCCGAGAGAGACATAGAGGGCTGCCAGCCTGGCCTGGCCGGGCTGGCTGAAGACGGGTCGGACGTGACAGGCCTGCCTGCCTCTGGCCACTCGAAGTTCTGCCGGAGCGTCTGGCCTGGCCTGCTTGCTGCTGGCCAGCTGGGGCCTGACTGACCCCTACCTGGCCCGTCTGGCCCATTTCACGGGCCAACTGACGGGTCGTCATCGGGCCGATCCTCGAGTCGACTTGGACTACTGCTCTCGTCGCCCGCCTGCTTGCTTGATACGGCGCCAGCTTTCGGCCAGGCCAGACCAGCCAACGAAACGAAACGTCGTCGTCGTGTGTGTGTGTGTGTGTGTGTGTGTGTGTGTGGCTTTCAGCTGGCTTTCGTCTTTGCATCGTGGCCGGTGACCAGAGGAAGCCGGGTTTCGCTTTGCTGTGCTCCCGGCGATCGTCATTGCAGCGCCTCGCCAGCGTCCGAGGGACAGCCAGCCCGCAGCGCGGATGCAGCCAGAGAGCGCCCCGCCGGAACCTGCCAGCCAGGGACGGGGATGTGCCCAAGAGGCTACTGTAGGTGGCGGCGAAATTCGGCATGACCCGGCCCTGGCCCAGCCTGCCTGCACCACCAACTACCTCGCTCTCGATGCCCGCAGAAAGCTGGGCTGGGCGCGTGGGGGCAGGTGGCCACGCCAAAGCAGGGCCCAACCAACGCCCAGCCCAACACCCAAAAAAAATCCACCAAAAAAAGGGTTGGCAGGCGGGCAGGCGGGCTTGGGGCAGCAGCAGGCAGACAGCGCGGCCTGACTCTCACTCCACCCGTCCCGAGCGTGGCCGGGCTGGATTCTTGAAGTTGTGCCTACACGATTGGCCAGACAAGCAAGCCACTCAACCACCTCCTCGCCCCCCCGGACCCCATCGCCATATAACCATCCTCTTGTCTCCCCGGCGTCTGCTCCGTACCCCTTTGCCTCCTAACCCTCCCCCCCCTTTTGATGCCTATCGACATCCGCACCGCCGCCACGCTTGCTGCCTCCGCCTACCGTTGCCCCCTTGGCTCTTCGTCTTCTTCTCCTTCTCCCGCCGCCGCACGGTCCATCTTTGCAACCCTCCCCTCTGCTGCTGCTGCTGCTGCCGCCGCCTTGCTGCGTCCGACCCGAAGCGCTTCGATCCATCTCAAACCCCGTTGCGACTTCCTTTGCAGTCTCGCAATCACTCGTACCAGCAGCTTCGTGCCGCGCCCCCCACCCTGCTCGTCGGTTCGTTGGACCAAGCGCACCCCGCTCCGACCAACTGCTATCTCAGCCGCTAGATCCGCTCCCTGGTCCATCGCCGCTCGCTACTTGGCCTCAGCTGCTACCGTTGGCCCGTCAAGCTCCACGCCGGCATCCGACCCGCAAACCAAGAACAGCGCCATCTCCAGCTTCTTTCTCGACGCGCTCAGCAACATGTCGAGCTCTTCAGCGCCAGCGTCGTCGCCGTCGGCAGCCAAAAAGCTCAAGGTCGCCATCATCGGATCCGGAAACTGGGGAAGCGCAATCGCAAGGATCGCCGGAATCAACACAGAGAGGCATTCGGACGTCTTTGAAAAGGACGTCCTGATGTACGTCTACGAGGAGGAGGTGAGTGCTAGCAGCAGCGACGATCCGCGCACCGATGCAGGCTCAAGGGTACGGCAGAAAACGGGGCTGAGCAGGTCCTCACACTACCGTCCGTATTGACGCATCGACCGCAGATCAAGGGCAAGAAGCTGACGCAGATCATCAACGAGGAGCACGAGAACCCAAAGTACCTGCCTGGCGTCAAGCTGCCCGCCCACGTCCGAGCCGTGCCATCGGCGACCGAGGCGGCGCAAGGAGCGCATCTGCTCGTCTTTGTCCTGCCGCACCAGGTGAGCCCAAGCCGCCCTGAGCCTCCTGCACGGCACGAAGGGGGGAAAGGCGATCGCTAACCTTGTTGGCTGGAACTGGCGCCGCTGCCTTTCTGTGCCCTCTGCCAGTTCATCGGCTCGGTATGCAAAGAACTCAAGGGCAAGGTTGATCCGTCGGCGCGCGCCATCTCGATGATCAAGGGCGTCGATGTGCGGGACGGCGACATCCGCATCTTTGCGGACGTCATCGAAGAGGCGCTCGGCGTCGACTGCTCGGCGCTTAGCGGAGCAAACATCGCCAACGAAGGTGAGCGGCCGGCGTTCAGAGTAGGCGGGCCGCGATGGGATCTGACCTGACACCGTTCACCTCGGAAACCCGTCTCACTTTGCCCTGCTGCGCCCGACTTGGAACCACAGTGGCCCAGGACAAGTTTTCCGAGACGACGATCGGACACCGAGAGGGCGAGCGTGGCCGCGAGTCCGCCGAGCTCTTCTTCCGCCTTTTCGACACGAAAACCTTCAAGGTCGGCATGATCGAGGATGTGGCGGGCGTCAGCCTGTGCGGAGCTCTCAAGAACGTCGTCGCCATTGCTGCCGGCTTCACCGATGGCCTGGGGTGGGGAGACAACGCGAAAGGTGAGAGTCACCGGCAGCCAGCGGGCCAAACTGCGCCGGCGTTGCCCGTAGCCGTTCCGTCGAGACCTCAGCAGTCGCTGACGTCGTGCGTGATTAACCTCTTCTCCTCCCGGTACCGCCCTTAGCTGCGGTCATGCGGATCGGCTTGATGGAGATGAAGCGGTTCAGCGAAGAGTTCTTCAAAGGAGTCAAGCCCGAGACGTTTACCGAGACGAGCGCCGGCATCGCGGATCTCATCACGACCTGTTCGTACCGGCGCGCTGAAACCGACTCGCCCCGTACTGCGAGTCAAGCCCAGCCTCTGACTTTCCCCATTCTGCCTTTTTCTCTTCACCTTCGACTCTCCCGCCAGGCATGGGAGGACGCAACCGAAAGTGCGCCGAGGCCTTTGTCAAGACGGGTAAGCCATTTGACCAGCTGGAAAAGGAGCTGCTCAATGGCCAAAAGCTCCAGGGCACCGAGACGGCCAGGGAGGTGCACGAGTTCCTCAAGGCGAGGGGCAAGGTGGACGAGTACCCGCTCTTCCGTGCCGTCTATTCGATCGCCTACGAGGGTTTCGACGTTCAGGACCTCACGAGCAAGCTCTAGGCAGGTCGTCGCGCGACTAGACGGGCGGCGGGCGCCTTGGCCTTTCCCGTTTCAGCAGCGAGTCGGTGGGGTGCAGACGTAAAAGGGATGGGGTTTCGAGGATGGAATACCGCGCTCGATGGCGCGCGCACACACACACACACACACACACGCTCACACACACAGATGGCAGATGGCAGACGGGTACGCCCTCGATCCCGACTCAGGCGAGGTCCATGGGGGCCATGCGGCGGTCTTGTTCCTCTCTACTCAGCTCTCGATGCTTACTCGATCCGATTCGATGTGACGCGATGCGATGCGATGCGATACGAACTCGATCCGATCCAGACCGACGCTCGATTCTGTGGACAGTGTGCCCTGTGGCCGCGCGCGTCGGAGGACGAGGTCAAGCGACGATGAGATTGCAGCGCTACCGACCTCAACTCGAACCTGCTTCTCAGCGCTGGTCGACGCACGCAGACGGCTAGCAACAGCAAATTTCCCTTGATCATCGGCGCGCAGGTCCCCGCGGCGCCCGTGATCCGGTAGGCCAAGCCAGGCTCAGGAGCGGCTCGACGAAATGACGCTGGCCCAGCCCGGCTCGTAGTCGTCGTCGCTGGCGTCGAGGTCGGCCGCCGAGAGGACGGTACCGGGAGGTGGCCTGCGCAGCCTCTGCGACGAGCCCTTGCCGCTGCTGCTGCTGCTGCTGGCCGTGCCATTGCCGCCGCTGGCGCTACCCTTGGACCTCGCTTCCGCCACCGCCTGCCTTGCCCTCTCTGCGGGCGAGAGGAGCCGACTCGTCGTCGGAGAGGCCGTGAACGAGGATTGGGTGGGTGTCGCAGCGGCGGAGTTGGTGGCGGTGATGCTGCCATTCTGCGGCGTGCCTGGAGTCGACGGCCGCTCGTTGGTCGGGCTGCCAAACGCCGGCGAAGCCAGATTCGAGGCGCTACTGTCCGCCGCCGCTACAGACGTTGACGCAGCGCCGTTGCCGATGCCGTTGCCGTTGCCGGTCGACTTCGAGTCGGCCGATGGCGGATTCGGCAGGCGCTCAGGGCCAGACGCCAAGGATGCCCCGTTTTCGTTGCTCGCTGCGCTGCCGCTGCCGCTGCCGCTGATCATCGAAGCTCCGATGCCGGCCAGACCGTTGTCCTGCGAAGCCCTCGCTCCCGACTGCTCTGCCTTGGCCTCGGCCACCTCGTCGTGCGGCACGAGCAGCCCTGCGCCCATCACCTTGTGGGCGTTGGGGTCTGCGGGGTCCACCTTGCCGGAAGACGTCCGCTCAACCTGCGCCCTCTGCGGAAGGTCTCCGGGCGCCCTGGGATCGGCGGGAATGACTGGACCCGAAGAGGCTGCCAATGCGTCGGCTTCGGCGTCCGGCTTGCCGTAGCCTTGAACCCACGGTTCGGTGTCGGACGTGCCGCCAGGCGTAGACGAAGAGGCGGCCGCAACCTCGCTGGGGTCGAGGGGCTTCGGAACCTCGCCGCCAGGTCCGAGGCTGCTCGGCTGCAGCACCCAGGGCTCCTCGGGGTCGGCCGAGAGCGGCTTCTCCTCGAGCTCGAGATCCTTTGCCTTTCGCCGCAGCTTTTCAACATCTTCGGGCGACCGGCCATGCACGCCGATTTCGATCGACGTGTCCGGCGTCCCATGTGCCACACCGAGCTGGCCGTTGCTCGACTTCCTGGGCGTTTCGGGCACCGCCGAGGGCGTCGTCGGGAACTCGGGAATCTGAAGCCAAAAGCCCACATCGGCGCAGTAAAGAGGCGACGCAGAGAGAAGAGGGCAAGTCAGCAGTTGTCCCTGGTGGCGGCTTAGACCTGACCCGCTGCGGACCAGCTCGCCGGCTGCACATACGGTCGGGAAGGATCCATCGGTGGCGGGGAGGCCCTCTCGAGCTTGCCTGGCCCTTGCGGGGTCGATATCGGTTGCGGGGGGATCTGGCAACTGGGGGAGTCCGTCTTTGCCTTCTGCCGTGGGCGAAACGGGCTGGTGCGATGGCAGGCCCGACTCGAGGGGCTTCGCTTCTTCCGACTCTGGCCTGTTCCTTCCCGTCAAGACGATGTCCGGATCGAGATCTGCAAAGGCATCGCGGCCGGAGCCTGGCATGGCATCGGACGACGCTGAGCGGAAGCGGAAGGGAAAGGCGAGGGGACGTGCGGGGTGTGTGTGGTGTTTGGGAGTCAGTGGGTGATCCAACAGCAACGTCGGTCATCCCCATCACCTCTGTTGAACGCGGGCGAAGGCTGCAGCACACTCACCTCCCCTCTGCATCCTGCCGGAGCTGGAGCCAAAGCTTGGAATCCGTCCTCCGCTGTTGAGGAAGGCACCGCCGGTGAGCTGAGGCCTCATGGGCGCAGTGGCCGGGTCGCCCCAGCCGCCTCCCGACCCTCCGCCGAGCCACACGCCGCCCGTCATCTGGGGCCGCAGGACTCCCTCGCCCCAAGCACCGGATCCTTTGGAGGCTGAGCCGGGGTAGCCTCTCCGCGCCCCTCCGAGGAGCTCTGGATTGGGCGCTCCGACGCCAAAGGAGCTACGCGGGACTAGTGGCCGCTCGTCGTTGCCCTGGAACTTTGCGATCCTGTCGCGGACGGCATTCGACGAGCCGTTGCTGCCCATGCGAGAGGGGCTGTCTCCAGGGCTGAGGCGACCAGACGAGGAGCCGTGCGAGGATCCTGGCGACAGTCCGCCCGAACGAGACGGGACTGGGTTTGACGTCTTTCTCTGGAGGGCGGCAATCCTCTCGGACAGGGTGGCGCCCGACTTGGCCATCGGAGGCGGACGATCGCCCGACCTGGAGTGAGGACGCGTTCGGCGAGGGGGAGGACAGGGGTGAGCCCGGTCTGTATGAACGCTCGCTTCGAGACCGCCCCGAGCGCGCCGACTCGATGACCACGGCGAGGATGAAAAAGACTCACATGCTGGGTGACTGCTTGAGCAAACGAGGCGGAAGATGGGCAACGTAGTGTGGATAAGAAACAGGCTGGCGGCAGGCTGATCAATGTGTTTGTGAGCGCGACTTGTACGAGCCGGGAGGTGTCGAGGCGAGGGAGGCGGGCGATGCGGGTTGTTCCTGGGCGTGGGTAGATGCGACTGGGAGAGCGAGAGTCTTGGGAAATGGACCTCGCTGCGCTAGAGGCGGGCGAGGGACGATGCAAAGGCGGGGATGGGCCGCAGGAAAAGCGAAACGAGTGCCGAGGTTGCGAAAGGAGGGCCCAAAGGCAGCGTCGAAGGTGGTGTCACGACGATGCGAGACGATGGTGTGGTAGGGCGGGGGCGAAGCTCGGTCGGTGGGCGAGCCAAAGAGGGAGAGAGATGGCGCGGGTGGACGGACAGGAGAGGGTGGGAAGGTGATGCCGAGGCTAGGATGCTGCTGGTACACGAGGGCGGGTGCAGGCAGCCAAGGAGGCCAGGCCAGGCCAGGCCAGGGCGGGGGAGAGCGAGCCACGGGGCCCGCGTGCCGGTGCGGGTGCGTTTGCGGGTGTAACCAGCGGTGCGCTAGCCTTGGCTGCCTGCTGGCTGAATCCAACACCTGCTGGCTGGCTGCGCGTCGGCCTGGCCGCTGGTTGCCCGCTTTGGCCTGAGGGGCCTGGCTCTGCCTGGCCCGCCTGGCCTGCCAGCAGCCAACCGTGTCCGAGGCAGGACGGTTGGTTGGCCACGCTGGGTGGATAGGCGGGGCGGGGCGGAGCTGGCTGGTCGGCTTGCAGCGAGCTGCCCGCCTGGTTGCCATCATGCTGGCTTAGGCCAGGCAAGGCTTGGGTGGCCCCTGCTGCCGCCTCTCTTTCTCTCTCTCTCTCTCGCGCCCTCTCTCTCTCGCCCTCTCTGTGGCTCGGGAAGAACGGCGATGCATGGGTGCCTTTGGCCCCGGCGAGTTGCGCACGGGCTCGCTTCGTTGGATTTTCCCCCTTGTCTCTCTCGTCAGGCCTGCTGCCCAGATCGAGTCCAGAGGCCAGTCGAGGTCCAGGGCCAGGGGCCAGGGCCAGCAGCCGCGTCAAGGGCAAGAGCCGTCCACGCACCAGCCAGCCATCTATTCCCGTCTGGCAGGTAGGTAGTTCGGTACTGTACCTAGCAGCCTGGCAGGTGGCCATCCGCGCCTGCTCGACATCGCGGCTGCTCAGCCTTGACACCGCTTGCGCCCTGTGTGGGTTGGCTCCTAGCCTGCTTTCTATCGTTGGATTGGGGCCTGGGCCTGGGCAGAGGCAGAGCGGATCCTCGCCAACCGACACCCGGGGCCAAGAGGGTGAGGTGAGGCTGCCAGCATGCGTGGGTTTGTGCGGGACCCCTCTCCAGCCGCCGCCGCCGCCGCCGCCGCCGCTCGGCCCCCCACTGCGAAGAAAAGCCAACAACCTGCTTGACCGCTCGCCCAACTGACTGACCGACCGAACGACCGACCGACCGGACAGACCCACTCAGCCGCTGCTTCTCTACCCGAACCAAGCGGCGGTCATCATCACCGTACCATCGCCACCAACACCACCACCACCACCACCACCACCACCACCACCACCACCACCACCACCATCAACACCACCGCCGCTGCCATCGCCATCGCTGCAACCACCACCAGCTCCACCACGGCCACCAACACCGCCAACTACCCTTTCCTGCCACTCGGGCGTGCTGCTGGCCTTTGCTGCTCCTCTCGTCAACGCCTGCCGATTCTGCTCCTCGCGCTGCACCCCAGCCCATTCCAGCGGCGTCTCGAGGTCGGCGGTCCGTGGCACGCAAACTGAGTCTGCAGGGCTCTGAGGCCGGCGTGTAGCCCAGGCGCAACGCGCAACCTCGGACCACCATGTCGGACGACAGGCAGGCCGACCGCGCCTCGGCCGCCAGCCTCGATCCGCCAGACATCCCACAGTCCCAGCTCACCAGGATGGACCCGGACTCCATCCTCGCAGACGAGGCCGACCCCGACGGCGTGCTGGGCAACGACTCCGAGTCCGAGCCCGCAGGACCATCGTCGAAGCGCACCTCGACCGCATCGGCCATCTTCTCCAACGACATTGACAGAGATCATGGCCCGCTCCAGCTGCCAAAGACGCCCGAGCTCGACACGAACAACGCCGCAGCCTTCCCCACCGCCCTCCAGACCCCCAGACAGGCCGCCTTCCACGACGCTGCCGCCCCTGCACCGGACCCGAGCGCGACGGTGCGGCAGCTCGAGGAGCAGGTCAAGGACCTCACCAACCAAGTCACCGGCCTCAACGGGAAGCTCGTCAAGTCGTTTGAGCGCATCTCCGACCTCGAAGACGACCTCTCCGACTCCCAGGAGCGCGTCAAGGCCATGTCGGCCAAGATCGCCGAGCTCGAAAAGGAGCGCCAGGAGCACCTCGCCGCGCTCAACACGGGCCTCTTGGTGGAAAAGGCCCACGTCAGCTCCGAGATGCAGAGGATGATGGACCGCGTCATAGAGGAGACGGCCCAGAGAGGCAAGGCCGAGAGCGACAAGCAGCGCATCGAGTCCGAGCTCGACGAGCTCAGCTCCAGCCTCTTCAACGAGGCCAACAAGATGGTCGCCGTGGAGCGCCTCGCCCGCGCCCGTGCAGAGGAAAAGAGCCGCCAGATGGAGGAGAGACTCAAGGACACCGAAGGCATCATGCTCGACCAGCAAAGGGTGCTCGCCGACCTGCAGAGGCAGGTCGAAAAGCAGGGCCTTCGCGCGGAAAAGACCGCCGACGACGCTCTCTCGATCGTCTCCAAGGACAGCGGCGACGCCGCCAGCTTCCACCGCCTCAACGTCTCTGCCCTGGCTCGCTCCGCCTCCCAGAGGACGTCACGCGCCGCCACCCATGTGGTCCTGGGCACGCCCCTCTCGTGCGAGGCCCGCGTGCTGGTCAACATCGTGCCGTACCAGGAGTTCCGCGCGTTCGTCGCCCACCTACGCAGGCTCCGCAAGCAGCTCTCGCCGTTCTACAACTACCCCCTGCCCAGTGCCGGCGCCAGCGACAGCCTCACCAGCCCAGTCCAGGGATCGCCCAGGACACCGTCGTCCCCCGCGCCCAGCCAGGCGGGCGCCTTGCACACGTCGATGGCCACCTTCACCGGCGTCACGGCCTACAGCCAGGGCTACAGCAACTCGTCCAACTCTGGGTCGCCCTTTGCTGCGGCTGGCCTCAGTCGGCATCGCGACTACCCGCAGCTTCCCTCGACGGTCGAGAACATGGTCTACCTGCCCTCGCAGCTCTCGCTGCCCTTTATCAAGCGTGCGCAGGAGGAAGACGTCGACCCATGCCTGCGGCTGGACTTTGCACCGGGCCTCAACTGGCTGACAAGGCGCCAGGCCAACACGGCGGTCCTCGAGGGCAACCTGGTGATCGAGCCCATCTTCCCCGGAGGCAAGCCGCCGGACGAGGATGCCCTTCGGCGCGAGCATCTCCACCTTCCGCCGGCAGCGTGCGCGCTCTGCGGTATCCCGATCGTCAATGTACCGCTGCCTGGCGGCAACACGTCCGGGAACGCGACCTCGGACCAGAGCGCTCAAAAGTCGCTAGTGCCCAGCAGCATCGCGACGGCAACCACCAGCTGGGCGAGCTCGGCCGCCAACTCGCTTCGCGAGGTGACGGGTACGGGCAACAGCCGTGAATCGAGCGGCACGCTCAGCACCAAGAGCTCCCGGCCCAGCCTCTTTAGCTCCTTCCGACGGTCTGGCGGAACGACGAAATCCGCCAGCACCGGATCCGCCACGCTCGAGCCCGAGTCGCCGGTGGGTCAGAGCAGCGCCCTGCCTCCCAACGGCGATGAGGCTTCAGGTTCGCTTCTGCAGGTGAGTTCATCTGGCCGCGAAGTCTCTTCTCTCTTGCCGGCAGAACTGCGACATTGTTGCTGACATGTCATTGATCTCCGTCCCCTCCTCGCCTTGCAACACCCGCAGCCATCGCCGATGGACACCACCCTACCGGTGCCGACGCACATCTTCCGCATCCAGGAGGGAGCCACCACCCGCTACCTGCTGTGTCCACACCACTGTCTGGCCAGGCTTCGCGCAGCTTGCCAGTTTTGGGGCTTCATTCGGACAATGGAGAGGTCCGTCGTCCTCGAGGGCAAGTTTGCGACCGAGGAGGCCAGCGTCGTTGCAGAAAAGGCCACGGTGTCCAAGGCGGCGCCGGCCAAGGTGCCCGGCGACCAGACAGCGCCCGCAGCAGACGGAGTCGACTTGACGGCGTCTCGAGCATCGGCCGACGCTGCAGCGAAAGATCCCGCAGCTGGCGCCGAAATCGCCACAGGGCCCGATGCGGAATCGGCAGGGACCACGGGGAAGAGCGACATGACCTCGGAAGGGCTCAACCAGGTGCCGGATGTGTCGACGGACGATGCGCCCAAGGACTCGGCGGCGACTCTACAGGAGCAAGCAGAGCCAGAAGAGTCCAGCAGAGAAGGCTCCGATGAGGGGCAGGCCAATGCGTTGCCGGCCCCGGCCACATCGGCCGATGACGTCAAATCGGATGAGGAGGACGGCTTCGCCGATGCGGTCTCGTCGCCAAAGGCGAAAGCGGAGGATATCTCGGACGATTCGCCAGCCGCGGAAGTCAGCCGAACCGAAACCGAGGAGGGGGCCAAAGGTGAGGAGGCCGCGACGGAGGCTGCGAAAGGGGACCAGGACGAGGACCAGGACCAGGTCCAGGACGAGGGCGCAGGAAAGGGCAAGGAAGATGGCGACGCAGACGAAGACGAGACGGAGACGCCACTTGCACGCTCGACGGCCGACCTCAAAGAAGCATCGGACGACACGCGGGACGGTCCGACGACCACGACGGAGGCTGGCGAAGCCACCGCCGAATCGAAGGACGCGGCGTCCGAGGATGGCACCGCCGCACCCGCCAATGGCACCGACGGCAAGTCGGATGAAGATGCGATGGGCGACAAGCCCGTTGTTCCACCGCCGGTGCCGCGGCGATCTGCGGCCAGAGGTTCAGGTGCCAGCTCTCCCGCACCCACGGCACTGGCGGCTGCCCCCACCCTGCCACCTCGTCGGGTGCCTCGGCCCCAAGCCACCAGTACGACGACGCCCGAGACGAGCTCCGCCGGCGCTGTGCCTGCGACGGCACCCACATCGGCAGCAGCGGCGACGGCGTCAGCTGCGCCGCCGCCCAGGACGACGCTGCTGTTGGGCGGTGACGACGCCGTGGACTGGGAGGACAAGATGTGGACCGAGATCACCCGGCTCAAGGAAGAGCTATGGAAGGCGCGCGTTGGGCTGGTCGTTGACGAGGCCTAAGCTCCGGATCTGGTCGGGGGCCCGGGAGCCGAGCTGCCGGCCGCGGGCGTGGACTGGGAAACACCCCCGCTCGGGTCATCGTCTGGGTGGTTGCTATGGCGGGCATGGCATTGCTACGACTGTCACTGTACTTGCATCTTCCTCTGCATCTCTGCTCCGCTGAGCCGTGGCGGCCGTGTCTCGATACCATGGACGATCTGCTCTGCTCTGCTTTGACCCCGTCAAGCTCGACCTAGTATTGTGCGACTGCTGTCGCAAACACGCACGCTGCCGCCGGAGCGGTGCGTGCGAGCCTGAGCACGTAAGCTTGGTGCGGCGAGGCGCTTGTTCCCCTGCACCTTGCAGCGCAGTACTCCGCCACACGAGTGAGCCGCCGTACAGAGCAACAAGCAATAAGTCTCGTCGCTCATGGTAACTGCCGATTCTGCCGCCGGTTGGCCGAAGCGTTCCTCAGAGCGGCCCCAAAACGTCAATTCAAAACTGGCAGCGCACGGGTCGGCGCAAGAAGGAGAACAGGTGCCGTCCAATACATACGTACGTGCTGCTCGGGACGCTGTCGGGTTATGATGACGACGACGACGACGACGGAGGACAGCTGCTGCAGCCCTTGTCATGGTCATACGGAAGGCGCTTCCGAGCGGACAGAGGGCGTGATGGTGTTGGCGGAGAAAGAACGTAACGAGAGGCGCCTGCGTGGAGAGGGACGGCTTGTGAGCGTCGACAGCGAGGCTTGGAGGCTCGAGGAGCAAGCCTGTCCAGCGAGCTAAGGTCGGCAAGCGGCGGAAAAGTCTTCCCAGAAGCTCGCGGGCAGGCCTGGCTGCCTGCGTGTGGCCAGACCAGATGGGTAGGCGTGGCAGCGGAGCTTGCACCCACGCACGCACGCAGGCACGCACGCCGGGGACGTTGCCTTTCAACCAGCGGCCGAGGCAGGCCAACCAAGGCCGGCCTGCGAGGTTGCTCGGAATCCCCTCAGTGGTCAAAGCGGCGTGCCCCTTGCAACCCACACCTCTCTCCATACATCTTCTCTATCCGACCGCCGCGCTTCATGCTGCCTTGCTTCCCCTTCCCAGTCATCACCTAGCCTGCCTTGCTTTGCTTTGCTTTGCTTTGCTCTGCTTTGCATTAGCTAGAGCGTCACTAGTAGTCTGCCGCCGCCACCGACTCGCTCTCCTGCAGCTGCAGTCGCGGACTCGCAGGCAGGACAGATCAGCAGCCACACCAGCAGGAGCAGCAGCAGCAGCCCCCCGCTCCGCCCTTTTGCGCGAGCCACCCACGTCTGGCTTGCTTGGCTCTGCCGCAGGCAGCAAGGTAGGCTTTTGTTGCGGGCGTGCGTCTGGCAGCGCTTGGTCCCCGTTCCCATATGGCGCCCACCCGGCCGCCGCCATCATCGGCTTCGTTTCCGCCCCCGCCTGCGTTCTCATCTCCCCCTCCTCGACCGTCGGTCCCCCCGCCTCCCCCTCCTTCCTCGTCGCACGCCACCCTCCCGACTGCGGCGACCTCGATCGCGTCGTCGCTTGCCGCCGAACCAAACGACCCGACCCCTGCGGCTGGCCCGTCAAACCAACCTTCCGGCCCACGCACCGCCTTCCGCCGCTCTTGGCGCCGCCCCAGCTCCAACAACGCCGCTACCGCCAGCAAGGCCCGCGCCGACGCCAACAGCAGCGGGCCAGCACCAACGAAGGCAACCGCCTTCACCCGAGCCTCGAGCCCTACGCCGCCACCTCCAGAGTCCGGCCAGAGGGCGCGGAGATCCGGCTCATCCCGGATCGGCAAGAGCTTCGAGGACGCCCTCGCCTCCAACCACACCTACGTTCTGCAGGGCAGCGCGGATCCCCTGCCAAAGGCGGCAGACCACGATCGAGACGACGAGCGCAGCGTCAGTGACGACAAGCACGTCACCGACGACGCAGACGAAGACGGCGAAGAAGCACAACGAGACCAAGGCTTTGCGCCGCCGAAGCCATCGCAGACCGACGCAGCAACTAGCATCGCAGATCCTACGGCGCCTTCGGATGCTTCGCTCCAGGCTCTGACCGAGGAGGCTGTACCGAGCGTCGTGCCTTCCGAGCCCGGACCTGGCCAACTCGACCCAGGGATCGGCCGTTGCGAGGACGAGCCGAGCGAGAGCATGCTCGCACTCCCGGCCACGCACCACCACCAGCGCCTCGACAACCGCCGCAACATTTCCGCTCCGATTGCCTCGGACCCAGCAGATCACAGTCACGGGACGACCGATCCAGGCCACGGAGCAAGCGCATCGCGCGCCTCGTCTACATCTAACGAGTCGGAGCTGCACGTCAAGCCTCAAGGTCGCGGGGCTCCTCGGCGGCCCTCCGTCCAGGCCAAGGCCGCCGACACCGCTGCTGCAGACGGATCCATGCCATCGTCTCGCAAGCCGTCCGACGGCAGCGCGCGGCAGGTCTCGGCTTCTCCGGGGTCGCGTAGCAAGAGTCAGGGCCCGTCCGACGACCGTCGGCAGGTGCCTCCGGCGGAGCGATCCGCGCTCGCCGTGCCGTCCTCGTCATCCCGTGCCGAAAGTTTCAGTCTGGCCGACGAGGTGGCCATGAACAGCCCTAAGATTGAAGAGCAGCCGGAGCCCATCATGCTGAGCTCCCACGGCGGCGGCGGCGGCGGCGGCGGCGGTACTTTTAGGGAGCGCATGAAGAAGACGAGCAGCTTCCTGCGCAAGCTGCGCGGCGACGGCGCCAGCAGCGGCAGCGACAAAAAGGGGCGCAAAGCGACCACCCACGCTCACAGCGCACTCAGCCTTCACGCCAAGCCGTCGCAGAGCACCGACACCATCTCGCGCAAGGAAAGCCACGCGAGCCTTGCCAGCGAGGGAGCCTCGAGCATGGCATACAGCAACCACAGCCTCTCGAGCGGCCCGACGCTGCGATCCAACGGCCAGTTTAGCCCGAGCGACGAGGTGCCCGTGCCCTCGATCCCGTCAAGGTACGCCAAGGACGCCTCTGTATCCACATCGATCAGCGACATCCAACGGTCACCCCACGCGGGTCCGGAGACGCCAGCAATGCTCGCAAGGCCGGCGGGCGTCAGCAAGGACAAAGCGGCGCTAGCGTCCGACGTCGGCGCGCGCGGACTCGTCGCGGGAAAACCTGTCTTGCCCCAGCGATCCTCGTCGCAGACCCATGCTCGGCTTCCGCGTCGTTCGGACGCATCCTCTGGCGATGTGCGCATCGTCATCCGCGAGTGGGAGACTGCCATGGACGCCGCGCTCAAGGACGCCGCCTGCGACCTCGAAAAGAAGACCAAGTTCACGCCAAAGGCCGCCTGGGGACCGAGCCCGACACTGCCGGCGCTGGACCTCTCGCGCTACCGGGAACGCTCCGGCAGCTTTATGGAGGAGGGCGACGTCGAGGAAAGGACGCGCCTCATCAAGGCCGGCACCCGCGTCGAACCGACCTCGTCTTCGCTCCCATCGACGCCCAAGATTGGCGGTACGGCCCGACCCGCGCTCGGTCCCAGCGACTCTCCCGGTCTGGCGCAGCGCGCAGCATCGTACGGCTACGCCGGCGACGGTTCGGGGCGGATCAGAGCTGGTAGGAGGGATGGCCAGCCTGCCGAGGCGACGGGATTGGGCATCAAGTCCTCTCCCCTCGCCGACAGTGCCGGCTCACCGCAGACAAGCACCCTCTGGCAGTCTATGGATGACAGGCTGACGCACAGCAGGGATCCCACCGCAGTCAATGGCACTGAGCGCTGGTCCAATGAGGCCTACCACGCGCAGCAAAACCAGCAGCGAGCCGACTCGCCAGGTGGCAGCGTCCAGACGCCGCGGAGCAGCACGCGCAACTCGAACGAGAGCGCGCGCCAGCCCTACTCGCTGCGGTCCAGCCATGCGCGCTACGGCACATCGGGCGCCAGCCTGACCAGCGCCAAGAGCTTCGAGACGGCGGCCGAGAGCGCGGTCGTCACCGCAGCAGAGCCGATGAAGCGCTTCTCGGCCGATCACCAGCCGGAGCAGCGTTCGGCCGGCTGGATGGCCGACGACGCCGACGAGACGATCCAGCAGGCATCCAGGCTCAGCCTGGATGACCAGCCGGAGGAAATCGTGGAGCCCGAGCAGTCGATCCGACTGATCACCAGCGCAGACGACGGCCTTGGCCTTGTTACGCATTACGGCGACGAAGCCTCGACCCCGGTCGATGCGAACGTCATGACCATATCTCCGGAGTTGCACGACGACGGCGCGCGCTCGCCACAGCAAGCATCCGCTAGCCCGCTTCGATCGGGCCTAGAGACGATCTCCGAGGCATCTTACCCGCGAGGGCGGTCGTCACCCTCGCTATCTCGCGGACTATCGGTACGAGGCGATCACCTGCCATCTCGAGGGCCCAGCCCGAGCCTGTCGCTCCGATCAAGGGAAGTCGCTTCTCCTTCGCCCAGCTACGCGCACACACCGCGAATGGGCGGGGGCAGTGGCAGCGTCGACGTCCTCTCTCTCAACGACGAGGAAATGTCCGCGAGCAACGGCGACTTGCGGGCGAGCGTCGACAACTCCGGCGCGGAGCTGGCCGCCAGGTGCTGGAACGAAGATCCAACCTTCCTCAAGAAGGAAAAGATTGCCGAGTGGCTCGGCGGCATGTGAGCATCGAGCGAGCCTTTGTCGCGACCATCGCGTCCTCCTGCGACCTGCTGTGTGGCTGACTCCAAGCTCTTCCTCCCCCGAAACCATTCCGGCTCTCTCGCAGCGGCCTGGCCAACAAGGCGGCTCGGCGGGCGTACTTTGAACGCTTCGAGTTTGAGGGTCTGCGGATTGACGTCGCCTTCCGACGTCTGTGCGACAAGCTCTTTCTGCGAGCCGAGACGCAGCAGATCGACCGCATCCTCCGCGCCTTCAGCGAACGGTACTTTGACTGCAACAAGGGCTCGGTGTTTGGCAGCGCGGACGAGGTACACAGCGTGGTCTTCTCCCTGCTGCTGCTCAACACCGACCTACACATCGCCGACATCCAGGACAGGATGACCCGCACGCAGTTTGTCAGGAACACCATGTCGGCCATCGCCGAGTCTCGACAGATGGACCTCGGCGCTTCTGGGACAGGCGGCGGCAGCGGCAACGACTCTCGCAGCAGCCTCAATCTCGCCGCGTCGGAGAAGCACGAACCATCTTCGAGCACCACCGGGCTCGGCTCGTTTGGCACGCGAGGCCGGATCAACCGCAGTGCGAGCGTCCGCAGCAGGATGAGTCCCAGCATCCGTCAGCATGACTTCAGCTCTGCCGGGTCCGAGGGCGCTGCAAGTCCACGCATGTCGACGGCAACGCTGCCACCCGACATTGTGGTATCTGGCTCTTCTTCCAGAAGCGGCGACGTCGACTTGGAGCTGCTGCTGAGGGTGAGTCAAGGTCTTTGGCTGTGTTGCCCCCTCGAGTCGTGAAGGATCGCTGACTTGATGTGTCGCTCTTTCCATCGGGACTCGTCCACGTCGCCACAGGACATCTACGCGGCGGTCAAGAACGAACGCATCCTGCTGCCGGAAAACGGCGGTCTTTCCGCGCCGACCAGCCAGCCCAGCACCACCAGACGGCGTGGGCCCGGCGAGCGTGTCAATGCTCTGAAGCGTGGCAGCATCCGAGGCATCCAGGGGCTTCTGGGCACATCGAGCGCGATGAGCAGCGACAACTCGCTCAGCACGTCGCCCGGATCCATGACGTCCCGGTCCGCCACGGACCCGTGGGGCGCTCTGACTGCCTCGGCATCGTCCAGCAGCACGGGTCAGACGGCCCACTCGAACTCGGCGACCATCGGTTTCGCCAGCACTCTGACGCAGACCATCATCCGAGAGGCACAGGACGAGGATGCGCTGAGCATCAGCTCGCTCGTAGACGAGCCCGATGACGACGAGCTCGCGCTGATGGGCCCGCCATGGGCAAAGGAGGGTACCCTGACGCGGAAGCACTACTGGGAAGCACCCGGCAAGCGGGCCAGGGACAAGAGCTGGACCGAGGTGTTTGTCGTCATCCAGAAGGGCAAGCTGAGCATGTTCAGATTTGGCGACACCACCGGGCGGTCGTCGAAGCAGCAGCAGCACAATCAGCAACAACAACAGCAGCAGCAGCAGCAGCAGCAGCAGGCGGTCGGCGCCGCTCGCAAGGGCAGCGGCAACGGCGTCATGGGCGGAGGCAACTGGCTCTCGAACGCGACAGCCCTTGGCGAAGTCAGCTTGGCGCACACGCTGGCCAACGTGCTGCCGCCGCCGGGATACAACCGCGAGCGCCCGCACGTGTTTGCGCTGACGCTTCCGGGAGGCGCCGTCTTCTTCTTCCAGGCGGGCCACGAGGAGCTGGTGCAGGAGTGGGTGCAGACGTGCAACTACTGGGCGGCGCGGCAGAGCAAGGAGCCGCTGCCGGGCGCCGTCTCGAACATGGAGTACGGCTGGAACAAGGTGCTGCCCTCGGAGGACTTTGAGGAGCTCGACGAGGCAGACGGCGGCGATCTCGACGACGCCGCTTCGTTTACGCCGTCGACGTCCAACGCCGGCTCCGTGTCGACGGTGCCCGACGCCAGCATCTACAGCGGCAGCAGCCTGGGGCTCGGCAAGGCGGCCGACAGCCGGAGCATGCGGAGCGCGCGGTCCGGCCGTTCGTCGCGCGCCAGGGCCGGCGTGTCACTCTACCAGAACCTGCGCGACGCCGCGCTTCTCTACTCGCCCAGCAGCAACGGCGGCGGAGCAGGCGGCGGCAGCGGCTCGTCGTACACGAGCCCCGCGCCCTCGATCCTCGGCAGCAGCAGCAGCGGCAACCTGCACCACGGCGGCGGCGGGCGCCTCGGCTTCGGAGGGGGCTCCGAGGGCCCGCACAAGAACGAGCGCATCTTTATAAACGAGTGGAAGGCGCCGGCAATGCCGACGGTGGCGTCGACGCTCAAGGAGGAGGACCAGCTGGAGCGGTGCCTGGGCCACATGCAGATTCTCGAAAACGACCTGACGCTGCACAACGAGCTGCGGCAGCCGATGCTGCAGCTCTACTCGCCGCGCGGGCCCAACCACGCAAAGGCGCTGTCCAACTGGGAGCGCAAGAGCAACCACCTGCTCCAGGAGCTCGTCAAGTACCAGTGCTACGTCGACTCGCTCAAGCACTCGGTCAAGCTGCGCGCCGACATGCGCGGCAAGAAGGAAGTCGAGGGCATGATGCGCCGCGCCGACGAGGAAATGGCCAAGCTCAGAGACGTGGGCCACGGCCTCGAGGACGTCCTGTGAGAGGGGGGAGACACCTGGCCCTCGACGCGACGCGACGCGCAGCAGGGGTAACGGAGTCGACCGTCGGCGTTTGCGGGTCGTCCTTCTCACCGCCTTTGCCCTTGTCTCCCCCTCCTGCCTGCGAAACCTGTCGCGACATGCATACCCATCTTCTATGTCCTCCGCTCTTTTCCCTGTGGCCGCTTTCTGTTCGTACCTCGACAACCTTCTTGTTGGCAGACGCAGCACCAGCAGTAGCGGCGGGATGTAGCCTCGTCGTTGGCCGCGCACCGCGGGGAGGGGGCCCGCGCCCTCGTTGATACCACCGTCACGCACGCAATCCCCACATCGCACCACCGCGTGGCATCCGGAACGGGATCAGAGCCGCTGTGTCTGCGAGCCAAAGCGCGTCGGTGTCGCAGTCCGGAAGACGGTGGAAGAGTGAAGGGGGGATGCCTTCTTCTCACCGGTTCGAGGATCTCGGCAGATCGTGGGGAGGAAGGAAGGGGGGGCCAACAAGCGGGAAGCACGGTTCAGGAGGTGGTGTACGTGATTGCGGGACGGCGGGCCGTGGGAAAGAGGCGATAATCTACAGGTGCAAAATGGTCAGGGAGAGGCGCATGGGGTGGGTGAAGCCCAGGACATCACGATGTTGGTGCAAGCGCTGGCGGTGAGGGCGAGGGAAGGGGGCTACAGAGAGAGGGGGAAGCGATGCCTCGACCTGATTTTCGCGCGCATCAGGTCGAGTAGAGGTGGGGGGGCGAGGGATCGAGAGTCGCTGAAAGGACAAGAACCCTCGGGTGCCGATCCTTGCCCGCCGTAATGGTGCGCCCGTCGGATCATGGGGATGGGCGGAAGAGGACGGGGGTCGACGGGCCTGCAATGGACGGACGGGTGACTTGCAGATCGGAGCAGGCTCGTGTATGATACGGTTCGAGAGAGAGGGGGAGGGGGGAAAAATAGGGGACCGGGGCCAGTTGAGGGAAGCAGGCAGCGGGGCAGAGCGCAGATTCGTGTGCAGAGAGGCAGCGGCAAGGGAGTGAGTGTGGATGCAGTTTCGAGCCTGGGACCAGAGAGAGCGTCGAGAAGGATGCTGGAGTGTCGGAAACGCCAAGGACCTGCTTGGTGTCGTGATGCTGTTCGCGGGCGGTAGTCGGCGGGTAGGTCTCTCCGGCGCAGAGATGCGTAAAATAAAGATGGCGTTGGCCAAGTGCCGCCAAATGCTCAGTCGAGTTGGCAGAGGCGGTGTTCTCGGGGGACCGGCAGAGGTGGTGCGGGGCGACGGAAGCGGTGCGCGCGGCCTGCAGCGCCTCACTCGCCTCCATCGAAGGTTGCCTCGGCCTTGGCCTTGGGGTTGAGCAGAGAGCTGAAGCCGACTCGGATGCCAGCGGTACTGCCGGATGTGCCGCTGCGCATCCGCGACGTCGGAGGCCGGTCCTCGTCGTCGCTCGAGAGGATCGAGGGTGGCCCGAGATGCGACGACGCCGTGTCCTGCTTGGGCGAGTCCTTGACCAGCATGATGCCGGAGCGCTTGCGGTCCCCTGCCTCGTCCTCGTCGTCCTCTTCGCCAGACGACTCCGATAGCCGCCTCTCGCGCAGCTGCATAAAGGGAGGCTCGAGGCCCGGGCCGCCGTGGCCGTGCAACGGCTGTTGCCGGAAGTGCTGCTGCTGCTGCATGTCGGCCCAGGATCCCATGCTGCGGGAGCCGGGCTCGAAAGCTGACCGAGACAGCGGAGGATGGTCCGTGATCTGCTGCAGCGAGCCAAAAGACGGGTGGTGCTGGTGGTGGTGAGGATGATGCTGTTGCTGCGGCTGCTGATGGTGGTGGTGCCAAGATGCGCTCGCGTGGTGCCCGAGAGGGCTTCCCATCCGATTACCGCCCACCCACATCTCCGGGTCGTCTGTGCGTGAGGAGCTAGCGCTGTGGCTGATGTGGCTGCGACCCGACTGCTCGCCGCCTTCGCCGCCTGGCCCGTGGCACTTCTGGTGCCTACGCAGGTTGGATTGCACGCTGAAGGATCGGCCACAGCCGGGCTCGTTGCAGACGAAAGGCTTCTCTCCGGTGTGACTGGGGTGAGAGGCCGATCAAGATAGAGAGAGCAAGTCAGCGCCTGAGGCTGGCTCGGACCGCATCGCGGCTAGCCATGTCCGGGGAAACTCACGAGTGGTGGTGGATCTTGAGGCTCGACGGACGCGAGAAGCGTTTACCGCACCAGGCGCATTCGTACTTTGCCTGGCCCGAGGCGATCGTGCCCGTGGCCGAAGAACGAGGGCTTCCACCGGTCCCCGCCGTGCCGCTGACGATGCCGTCAGGCACGCTGGCGAGGCCAGGACCCCTCATGACGTGCGCCTGGTACCTCTGCGCCTCGACGGGATCCGGCATCGGGCGGCGCGGGAAGACAAAGTTGGCGCCTGGCCGTGTGGCCTCGTCTGCGGCACCGCGTCCCCTGCGGGAGTGGAACGAGTCGAAGTTCCCAGCTGCGGCAGGCGGCTGCTGTTCCAGCTGCAAGCCTTGCGGATAGGGTCCCGCAGGCGCTAACGGCGGCGGACCTCGCAGTGACATCGAAGAGCTCTTCGGTCGATGGCCGCGCGTGTCGATCTGCTCGCTCGTGTACAAGTCGAGCGGCAGCGGCGCGCGTTCCTGCATAGACGCGCTGTGCTTGTGATGGTAGGTCCGACCGCCGGTCTGGACTGGCAGCGATGGTTGTGCACCTCCCCGCCCCATGCGCAGCAGCTCCGAGGCAGCTTCCAGATGCTGACGTCGAGCGGGATCGTTCATCCCCGGGAGAGGCGCAATCGGCCTGTCGGAGAAGGTCAGGGTCCTCGCGCGTGGGCGACGGACCGCTGATCCCTCCGAGGGCATCTGGGGATTCCGGAGGCTTCCGTGCCGTGTCAGCGACGTGATGGTCTGCTCCGGTGATCGCCGAAGCAGGTCTGTTGCTGCCTGTCCCGGTTCGCGGAAGGGCGGAAGCAGCGACGGCTGCCTCTCCCGTGGTCCATCGCCCATCATCATCTTGTAGGCAGGATCGCCGGACTCGAGCGTCGACGAGCGGCTGTGCCAACTCGTCCGCGGGCTAGTGCTCCCGGACTGGGTGCTGGCACCTCCCCAGGCATCGGTATTGGAACTTGCAGCAGACTGCGTTGTCAAGAAGGTCGGGAGGAGCGAGGAGGTTCGTCAAACTCGCCCGCAAATGGCATCGATGTCTCTCATGCAGCAAGTGGTGCATCCCGCGACGGCCTCCGTGCAGCGAACACTCACAGTATGGCCTGATGGCGCGTACCCGGGCAGCAGGCTAGGAGAGGGATCGGAGAGCGTGGCTGCATGGCCCGGGCTCGCGCGTGTAATGTGCTCGGGGCCGGGCAGCAGCTGCGAGATCGGCGCCGACCCCGACGAAGACCCTGGCCTGTGCCTCCGTGGGGTGTTTGCGTGGTCGCCTGGACCTTCACCTTCCAGGAACGCCTTGCGGCCAGGTGGAGACATGAGCAGTCCCTTGAGTGACTGGCGAGTCCGTGACTCGGTCCGCCGCCTGCCCGATTCCTCGCTCGAGAGCATCTGCGGTAGCACCGTCTGCCGCGGCGGGGTGCCGAACGTGCCGGTTCGACCCAGCGAACCCGAAGTTGATGATTGCCGGGTGCGGATCGGACCGAGGGTAGGTCCCGAGCCCCCGGAGAGGCTGGAAAAGCTGCTGCCGCTGCCGCCGTGGGCATAAGGACCTCGTTCCGGGCGCGTGCCGAAAGCCGGCCGCGCACTCGACGGGGGCGAGGCGGGATTGAAGATGTCATCCTGGCTCGGAGCACGTCGCATGTTCCGGAGGTTATCTAAAGAGGGAGCAGCGAGCGGGGTCCAAGGGCTTCAGTGCCACGGAACCAGCAAGGTCCAACGGGAGATCGCATCCTCCGCGATCTGGCCGTACTCACCGGCTCTCTCGATGCCGAACAGATTCTTGATGCTCGGGAGGCTTGCGTTGTCAGCCGGTCGCTTGGTAGGGGTGGCATCGCCCACGTCCACGTCCATGTCCGCTCGGTCGTCGCTCTGCTCGGGGGTTATCCTTGCCTCGACCACCGCGGAGCGAGGCACACGTCGGTCCCTTGAGTCCGTCGCGGCCTCGCTTGCCTGTGGAAAGGGGACCCCGCCCCCGGCACCACCGGGCACCATAGCTTCGAATGCCTGCGAAATGGTTGCGTCGAGGCTGGCAGAAGGCTCTTTGCCTGTTTGTCAACGAGCTGAGCGCCTCCCGAACGGCTCTGGTAGAATGCTTGGGCCCCCGGCCAGCGCTCAAGGCCAGGTAGAGGAGGGCTAGGAAGGATACCGTCTCCTCTTGCCGGCTCGGACGGGCGGCTGTGCGAGCTCGAGTCGGGATAGGCAGTCCGGCAATGCTAGCGGGAAACGCTAGAGGAGAGCAATGGACAGGACGCCGGTGCAGAGGTGGATTCCGGCCGACGTGTCACGAGTGGGTCCGCGTAGGCCGAGCGAGATCAACAGATGCGATATAGGAGCGGTCTCGGAGGTTGCGTGGTACGAGCCGCAAGCGAGAGCGCAGAGGTGACCGGCAAGACGGAGGCAATGTCGAGCTTGATGGGTAGGTCTAGAGCTCGAGATAAGTGGTAGTCGGAGGTCAGGTGCGCTGCGCCGGTCGCGTCATGACTCAAGCGCCGGAGACTGATGGCAGAGAGTGAAGCAGCTGAGCAAGAGGCTGGTCCGAGTCGAGGCAAGAGGGGCCGAGGCGGTGAGGCTGGATTGCGGGTGACAGCGAGTCGCTCCGAGGACGAGCAACCAGCGTCGAGGCGAGTACGGGATGAGATGAGGCGGGGCTGGCGGGGTTGCGGCGATCGCTAGCAGCGCATCAAATCACCGCGCGAAACGACCGTTCGGGCTGGGCTCGGGTTCTGAAATGGTGATGCGGGGCAGATGAGCCGGGCGTCGTGGACCGCTGCCCAGAGAAGGACGTTCCGGGGCACAGATGCGCAACGAGACGAAGAGGTGGGCCGATGGCTTGGGCGGAACACGATGCGATCGACCGCGGCACGGTGGCAGCTCTGGCCAGATCGAAGGCGGAAGATGGCGACCGTTGCGTGGCGGTCGATGGGGCGGTGGTTGGGCTGTGGGCCTATGCCGGTTTTGGATGACGCCGCTGCGGTCCGAAGCAGGCTAGCCGGGCGTGGTGGGTTGGCTAGAGCGAGCGCGACGGTGGGGCTGAACAATTTGCAAAGGCGTGAATCCACCACGACGATATAATAATGATATCGCGAGCGCGCGGAGGGGCGGCGCAGGGATGCGTGTGAAGCCGCGGGAGCAGTGGGCCGGCTTTGTCGGTGCCAGTGTGGGGATTGGAGCAAGCGTGCCGGACTGCCGTGATGACGAGGGGCCGAGAAAAGCTTGAGCCAGATGAAGTGGGTGCAAAGTCGGCCGAGGGAACTGAGAAAGAGACAGAACGCGAGAGGGAGAGAGGCTGGGAGAGACAGGAGGAGGCTTTGGCGGCAGTGACGGTGGAGGGTGGGCGCAGGGGGGCAACGAAGGTGACGCTGTCGCAGTGTGTCGTAGGCCGAACACGTATGGAGGCGTGTGTGAGGATGGTCAGTGGTGGTGGTGGTGGTGCCGGTGGTGAGGAACAGGTGGTGGCGTCGACGAGGGCACCGAGCAAGCAAGGAGAGAGAGGCAGGCCGGTGTGCAGTCCGAGGACACGGAGAGGAGGGTACGGTAGTAGGCGAGGCGGTGGGTTGAGGATCGACCGCCGTGCGCCCGTCGGCACTACTGCAGCGCACGTCTTGCCTTGCTTGGCTGGCTGCCCGGCCTGCTTTGACACGGCCTAGCCTGTGCTCATCAGGCAGGCGGGGCGAGGGCGGGAACGAGAGAGGCGGCCAGCTGGATTGCTTGGCCGCTGTAGGTGATGCTCACCCTGCCTCAGCCTTGCTTGCTTGCTTGCTTGCTTGCGCTTGCTGCTGCTGACCGGGGGCGGCAGGTCGACGGCATCGGTGCAGGGCTGGCTCAGATCCATGAATTCGCCTGGCGCGAGGCCTGGCCCCCGACATGCCTGCCTGGCTGGCTGGCCTGCGTGCAGCCCAGCTCCACCCTGGAAAATGGGGGGCGACGCGCGCGCGCACCCACCCACCTAGTTACGCCTGCCGGGCGGGACTGCCGCCCTGGCACCGCCTTGAGCCCAGCCCCGCCCCGCGCCTCGTCTTTTTGGCCCCCCCTCGCCTGCTGGCCTCGCCTTTGCCTCGCCTCGCCAGGTCCCCGACCCTCCTCTCTCTGTGGCGACAGTTGTATGGCATACGCACGAGCATGGCGGTTGCTATCGGAGCCTCGACGAGAGCAGAGCGCAGCGTCACGCAGAGCGTCGAACGGGCGATGATCCGCAAAGAACCAACTAGACCTGCGGAATGCCCGCGCTGGGTGACCCCGGTGAGACGCACAACGGAGCGACGGCCCCCAAGCAGCAGCGACTCTGATGGGTCCAGAAAGACGCGCGGCGTGTCTGAGAAACGCGGCCTAGCGACCAGCCCCTTCATGGACCGACGTAACATGTGTCTGACCCCAGACCAAACCGGCACAGAGCCAAATAGGGAAGGTTGTCGAGGGGCACCGTCGCCCTCACCCGAAGGAACGAGTCGAGGCTAGGATCTGCGGTGCCGGATGGATCCGCGACTCGCAGGTACCTAGCTGGCAGGGCAAGCATGTAAGAGGTCGCCAGCGCCAGCATCATATGCATGGCTGTCATGGGTGGCATGCTTCCCAGGCAGACCTAGTCCTGTGCCACGCCACCCGCCTTGCTCTCGTTCGCACCAGACGCCAGCTACATATGCCTGCCCTGCTGCTCGCGGACCGACGTCGACGCCTCGTAGCCTCAATCGCCACCATCCTAGCCTACCGCCCGCTCACGGCTGCGGCGCCACCCGATGGCTAGCCTTCGGCCGATCCGCGGCGTGGGTACCGCATCGCAGGCTCTCGCGAGCGACACGAACAACGGGCACGAGGGCGAGAGCTAGGTACATACAGTACCTAAAGCTGTAGCTGGGCGGGTCGCGACGGGTCTCACAACGGGGCGTGGGACGCTTCAAGCTCAGCTCAGCCAGCTTCTTCCCGCGCCCGCCCCAGCGACCCAAGGTCCAGGCCGGGCTTGCGACCAGGGCAGCAGCAGGAGTCAGTCGCCCCAATATCGAGCGCCCAGCCTGTCATACCCTCGGAGCTGGAAACCGCCATCTCTATCGTCCCTTTGTTGCTTGCTCGAGACTTGATGTCCGCTCACCCGGAGCTCCTGTATGCTCGCCTCGTGCCCGCCTCTCCGCCTGCCGGCCTGCCCGCCTTGCCTCTTGGTTGGGCCCCTGTCTCGTCCCAGTCTGCCTCGCCCCGGCTCGCAACCGATAGGCCAACGCCCTGCCCATCAACGCGCCACGGAGAAAAGGCACCATGGTCGGTCGTCACCGTCGGCGCTCAGCCCCAACACCACTGTACGTTGCCCGGTCCATGGAATGTCGTCCAAGTCAGTTGCTTCGATATCCCCCTGACGACAGCGAGGCCCCCCACGCTGGATGGCGCCGACCTGCGCGAGGATCTGCGTAGCTCATCTACGCTCCATCCCGGCAAAGCGCTGGCCTCTCTCGGCCCAAGGGTGCGCGGGCAACGGGGACACGCTCCTCCCCGTGCATGCTTCGTTCGTCCTTCCCGCGCGTCCCTCGACGGTCTTGAACGCATCGTCGATCGGTAGCGGTGCGGCACTTATCTACCTACCGGCTGTCGTCCTGATCTGATTGGTTGCAACCGACAGAAAACGAGGGCGTCGTAGAAGGGTTGGCACGAAACGGAATATAAATGCCAACACAGGCCACACCGCCCGTACCCGCCGGCCGTTTAGTCCGTCGTTTGTGCGGGCGCGTACATCGCTCCGCTTCCCGTCCGCCTCTGCAGAATGCCTTTCCGATACCGACCGGGTAGAGTAGCACATCGGTCCCACCGTCGTGCGCCGCCGGTACTGGACCAGCAAGGACCGCTGTTCTAGCCCATCTTTTCTACCTCGTCGATCATTCTAGGCACGCCCCGGGCGGAGCGGGTGCATAGGAGTTGCGGGCGCAGGAAAACGAGGCTTCCCGTGCCGGGTTCGCCGCCGTTTTGCTTGGCGGGGGCGGGGCGGTCCAAGCGGATCGCCCAGACGACGACGACGGGGCCAAAGCGACGGCGGCAACAATTGGGACGGAATCGAGCAAACGAGGCTTGCCTGATCGACACAGATTGAGTGGATGATCGTCGTCGTCGTCGTCGATGGTCTTTTGGCTATTGATTCGTGATTGAGGGCATCGATTCTAGCTGGCTTTGACTGCTTTGCATCGGCTGGCCCCCTCTTGTCTGATTAGGTAGCTCTGTATCACAGAGACGCGAATCCACGCCACAGGTCCGCGTTAGACCTCGACGCCGGCTCACCGACGGCGGTGCCAAGCACAGCCAGGCGTGCGTATCGCATCCTTAATTGGCTCGACGTCGCAACGACGCCCGCCATGCGCCGATCCTGTCTGTCTGGCCGTGTGTGTCCACATCCAGTCGATCTCGTCCTGCCTAGGCTGCCGGAAACGGTGGGTGGGGGCGAGGGTGCGATCGCAAGCAACGCCGGAAACGCAACGCAACGCGTTGGGTGCGATGCTCGTGGGTTCAACGCGGATCTCCGGAGACGTTTCCTACACCCTCCCCCCCACCCTCGCCGCCGCCATCGTCATCGGTGGTGGGGTGCGGCGTCGATCCGATACCAACCTAGGAAGGTGCGATTTTCGTATGCGCCAGCATCGACGTCCTCTCGTCCTCATTACGATCAGCCTGGTCGCACCCTAGGCCTGCCTCACCGAACCTGACCGGACCGGACCGGCCGCGCTAACGCAGGCAGGCCGGGAAGAGAAGGGATCGACAAAGACCGACCAGCCAGCCAGCCGGCCGGCCGGCCGGTCGGTCGGCATCTGTACATACGTACGTGCTTCAGAAAAGGACGGGACCGTCGTCGTTTCTCGGCGGCCGAAGAGATTGGGCAAAGCACGGAAGGGTCAGGGTCGAGGTCGAGGACGAGGTCGAGGTCGAGGTTCGATCTGGACAAGCAAGAGTCGAGGCTTTGTCGATCGCTGATCGACGGTGGACTGGCCCAGGCACGGGTCAGGGTTCAGAGTTTCCCTTCGCTGCCGCCGTCGGACCATCATCGTGCATCCCCCAATCTCTCTGCAGACCTTCCACAACGCGACGATGGTTTCGTCGATGAACCCTGTGTAGCGTGCCTGTATCGTGGTGGCGCACCAAGCCCGCAAGCGCGAGGCCGGATCGTCTCGACGCAGCCGCGATGCATCCTTGACCGCGCAACGGTGCGACCAGAGCCTTCCGTTCCTATTCCCTCCTTCTCCTGCCTGCCTCGCGACGATACGCCATCGGAAGGGAGAAGGACTGTGTGCATGCATGCGCTTGAGTGGGTGGGATAACGAACCATCATCGGCCCGCCCAATGGTCACGCCCCCTGCGTCGAGTCGGAATCACTCTCGTCGTCGCCGTACACGACCAAGGCCGTGCCGCCCCCACTGCCGCTGCCGCCACCACCCCCGCCGCCGCCCAGATCACCCAGCGACGACGGCTTCTTCCTCCTCGCTTCCCGCCTGGGCCC